GGTTTTAGACACATTCAGGACATTAAGGCGTTTCCATGCTTTCAGAAGCTTTTAGCTACCTGAGTCACGCAGGTGAGGAACAGCGAGGACAGAGACCAGATCCTGTCTAACTAATGAAGTCTTAAACATTCCCACACTGGGATCTTCGGGGTTCTTGTTTTGCTTTGATCTGAGAGAGTTAGATTACATTACTAACTTATAATTCACCGACTCAAAACATAAATTTAACAAGTCATTTCTTCAGTTTTCTTTATTCAACTTCATGTGAGTAAACGCTTAACTCAGAGCCGTGCACACGCATGTGTTCAGACTCAAACGTGTTCAGGACCTCTCAGGATCGTCAGTCATAATTAGTATGTTGTTGCTGCAGGACTAAAGCAAAGGAAAGCAAATTTGTCTCCAAAGTTCCTTCAGATACGTTAGGATTCCCATCAGAGCCGGTGAAGGTGTTTCTGATGCGCTGCAGCAATCAGCGCTTCCCTTCATTAGCAGCCTGAAGGCCCAGCGCTGGTCTCCACTGCTGGAGACGCTGCAGCAGCACTTTAAACGGCTCAGAGACGAGTCCGTTTGGGATGTGAGAGTCTCCATCAGTCACATGATCTAAGAGTCTCACCTGAAACCTTCAGGTTCTCTAAGGAGATCCCATCAAGGTCACCTTTAACACGGGGAGGTGAGCCGGAGGAAAGACTAACACATCATTACTACGGAGGTTTCTAATCTGCAAATTTCAGAAACGTAAATGACTGAAATTAAAATTCAGTCTGGTGTCAAATCCAACCTTCAAACCAATGATTATAAATAAACGCATCATCAGATTGATTTGGATCCGTTTTAAGCAGCAGAACTCGTCAATCTGAGTGAACATAAAGAGACAGAACCAAGCCGGTCCTGCTGGGCCCTGCTGGACCCCATAATCCACGACGTATTCAGCGCTCCGGGCTGTCCATCAGGAAAAGCTGGTTAGTGAGACTACTGACATCCCGAGATGAGACAGAGCTTCAGACCCAATCAGGATTCATGGCGTTCTGCTTCTGTCACCCCGACCCTCCACAGGACGAGCTCGGGTTCAAATACGCGTCTTTATTAGGAAACATCTCAAAACACAGCAGAAGTTCTCATCCAGATTGCATTCGAATTTGATAACGGCAGGACAATTCACTGAAACATGATGACATCAGAGTGACATCATCTGCTGGCAGGTAAACAAACATATTCCAACTTAAACCAATCAGAGATCAGAACACCAGTTCAGCCATGGAAACTTCCTGTAACCCGTTTAGACTCTGGATGATGTTTCTACTGGGATGTCCAACTGTGCTATACCTGGTTCACCTAAACTCTTCTAACGCTTATGGGGGCTCAGCTCATGAGTGCGGGCTGGTCATTCTGATCCTTTTATTTGGGTTTAGTTATGAAAACGTTCCGACAGCAACAAGGAAAACAGACGCTTTGTTCCTGATCTATAGGAGCAGTTAGCCATGGTAGACTGTGATCAGAGGCAGCAGTCAGTGAGAATCAAACAGAAAACAAACATCTGTCCCAGTTCATCGAGCTGATGGACCCCAGAAACCTCCACGACCCCCCACCCCCACAGAGCTGCTGTCTGTTTAGTGCCACTCAAGCCCTGAGGAGAACGGTCCCCCCCCCCATCCACGCCAAAGTCCCCAGAAGGCAGGAGCACTTATGTTGCTCCTCTTCCTTTTCTCCTGCTCACGCGCTTTGTTGGAGGATGAATAAGAAGCTGAAAGCCGACGGGCTGCTGGCCTTAATGGTCCCTGCGCTTACCTCCACCTCAGGACACATTTGAATTTCATGGCTGATGCTTCTTTACTGATTCACCCAGAATGAAAAAAACCTCATTTCTTAACTGTCCTTCCATAACTCATCACACACACACACACACACACACACACACACGTACACACACGTACACACACACGCACACACACACACACACACACACACACACACACACACGTACACACACGTACACACACACGCACACACACACACACACACACACACACACAGTTCTACGTTAGAATATTAACTTGTTCTGAAGTCAAAGTAAAAAATATTTCTAACGTTTTATGTCTCAGAGCCTAAAAGTAAAAATCTGGACCTGCTTTGGTTTTAAAATGTTTTTTATTTACGACGAACAACGAGTGATCGGGATCAAAGAACTGAGTCCAAGCGGTCAGTGGGAGGGGAATAGGTTTAGGCCTCCGGAGCATACAGGCGTGTGTTAACACAAGGAGGAGAGACATCAGCAGAAACCAGTCACACCTAGGGACAATTTAGAGTCCACAGTTATCCTGACATGCATGCAGGAAGAAACCAGAGAAGCCAGCATTTGAACCTGTGGCCTTCTTGCTCTGAGGTAACAGAGCAACCAGCTGCTCCACATGCAGGCCAGAAATTTTATTCACAGTTGGAAAACATGTCATGCATCTCAAGGTCAAAGGTCAGTGCTTTGACAATGACCCAAGAGCTCTTTCGGCAGATTAAAATCTTGTTCGGTGAGAAAGCGTGTAACACTTGTTCTGTCTGAAACACAAGCGTCACTCTGAGCTGCACATGCAAGCTTCAACCCCTTCGCCTGCTTCAGCCGCAGAGGAAGCAGACAAGAAAATGATATAGTCACAAAGGCCAGTCTTCTCTACGTGACATGGAACATTAGCATTCGTGGCCCCACCCACCTTTGCTTGTGACCGCCCGCAGGAAGGACAGAGCAGAGTGCGTCTCAGCTAACAGAAGCTAACCATTAGCATTAGCAACTCAACATCACGGTTTGGGCTTGTGTAATTTGTAGAGATAAAACATCAACGTTGCATTTCTTTTTACCCAAGAAAGAGCGAAAGATGTCAGCGGAAGAGATGTGTTGCCGTTAGCCAATCAGAGGCGAGATGTTTGCTTGTCATGAATATTAAGGAGTCAGACTCATAATCCTGTCGTTTTTGGCCCCCACTCCTCTGACTTCTGAAACTGGAGCGCCAGAGAATGACTCACAAAGCTTTACTGATGCTGACCAGCGCCGATTTATAGAAATAACGAGTGAATGAGACCTTTAAAGGTCACAGCAGCTCAGATTGATCTGAACAAACCAAAACTCCAGGATCTAGAAACGTTTACCCATAATGCACTGTAGCACCAACACCTGATCCCAGTCCTCAGCACAGTGGTGGAAGGCTGATGGCTTGGGCTGGTTCTGACCCAAGAGGACACATGAGTTCACCTGGACCCCTCTTCAAGAGTCTGATGTGAGACCATGATCCCAACACAGCAGCAGATCATTAGAACAAAAGTTCTGTAGAGATCCAGCCAGAATCCACACCAGAACCTGGTGAAAACTTAAGAGAGCTGAATGTGTGGGGACCAGAACTCCTCCAGAACCACACCATACTGATGTGGTCCAACAGAAGAGCTCCTGCTGCTGGAGGTGGTTCTGGACTCACTCTCTAGTTCTGAACTTTAGTTCCATTTCTGTTAAATAAAAAAGTTCTGTTGTTGGATGTCTAACTATCATCAAATCAATCATTTATTCTGCTCTGATCCAAAATCAAAAACTGAACCAGAATCCCATCTGAGTGAAACAGCAGCTAGCATTCTGATCCGGACTCTGGTATCGACCCGGCTGATTATGGATGAAAAGGTCCATCAGACCGGAAACACAGCTGCTGCTGCTGTTCCCACTGAGGACCCTGGTTTAGATGAGGCCCACAGAACCACCGTCCAGTTCTGAATGAGTCCAGACCCAAAGAACCAGATAAAGAACAGCAGCCTGAACACGATTCACTCAGACGCAGAATGTGAGATGTGGTGCATTTCTGTTCTGTGACCTTTGACCCGAGGACTCCTCTGGTAGGATTCATCATTAATAATAATAAATTATATATTATACATTTGTGTTTTTTGGACATAAGTGATAAAACAAAAGCTAAAAAATTGTTTTATCCCTGAAAGACTTTCAACAGAGCTGAAAACTTGCCGCTGATTTATTAAACTCACCAATAAAAACCTGAATCCCTCCAGAAAACAGCAGCACTCAGAATTATTCTTTTATCTTCAATGACAATAAATACAAGGTATTGTATTATTCTTTGGACAGGTTCCCAAAAAAATACGTGTTTGGAGAAAGTTGAACTAAAACTGATCCTAGGTTGTTTTTATATGTATTTTTTAATTCTACTGAGATTTTAGGTGAGTTTAGCTGCTGGGGAAAACAAAGTTCATTCATTTTCACTGTCCGTTTATTTCTGTATTTTTAGGTTTATTTATTGTGTTTTTAAAGAAAAGAGCAGTGATGAAATGTTTTTCTGTCTAAATAACGATTAAGCCTCGGCATTTTGTAATTGTTTAAGAGCAATTTACAAATTAGTTTTGACCTTTATAAACGTCAATCATAATCAAGAGATTCTTCTCTTGATTATGATTGACTGAATCAAAGTATTTATAACTTCTGACTCAGAAGCTTATTCCTCTCTGAGCTCCGAACTTCAACCTCCGAAGGCTCAGCGCCTGGAGGGCAGCACCTCAGCATCGCCCCCCAGCGGTGATGGAGAGTTCCGACACTACACCCAGACCAGCCAATTAACGCCACCTGGGGAGGACGGGGAGCGCCGTCCTCCCCAGGTCCGCGTCTGGTAAATAAAACCGAACCAGACACGATGCAGCGGAACCAAATGGGTCCCAAAACGAACTTTTCAGAACACCAAACGGAACTAATAACTGACTCATAACTATTCGTGTTTTCGTAAACATATTTTTAAGTTCCCTGCCGCTCTGAACACCGGCCCGTCTCTATTGCGTCAATATGAGTTAAACTCTAATAAATGGATCCAGTCTGAAAAACACGGGTGAAAATCCCATTAAATGTGTTTGAAAAAAACAAAGTGTGACGGGTTTAACTTCTTCTCTTATCGTTTTTTCATGTGAGTTTTCGCGTTCTCAAATGTTAACGGGAGATGTGTGAGAAAACAAGTAAAACCTCAGAGACTCACCTGAATAAAGTTCGTTCGGACCGGCTGAGGGTCTGGAACTCGCACGAGCCGCGTGAGAAAGGTTCAAAAAGGTTCCGGTCCTAAAACGAGACTAAAGTCCTCCGCGTCCACGTCGCTGCCACCTTCAGCATCTGAAGTCGGAGCTCAGCCGCAGCGACTCTCCACCGAGCTGCCAAAGAGCAGCGAGGCGACAAGAGAAGTCGCCCCTTCATCACCGAGCTGCCAAAGAGCAGCGAGGCGACAAGAGGAGTCCCCCCTTCATCACCGAGCTGCCAAAGAGCAGCGAGGCGACAAGAAGAGTCCCCGCTTCATCACCGAGCTGCCAAAGAGCAGCGAGGCGACAAGAGGAGTCCCCGCTTCATCACCGAGCTGTGAGAGAACGTTCTCTACGTCACCGAGAGCACGAGACGACTCTTGTGAACGCTTCAGTTTAAGCTAATAATGGTTCACTATGAACTATTAGCTTAAACTTGGAGTGGAAAAACGTCTTCAGGAAACAAGAAGAGTCCAGTTGTGTCCAACTACCCTTCAAGAGCGTACAGAAATCCACAGAGACAGATTTTTCCAACCACACTACTCTTTTATTTCCTACATCTAAAATAAAACAATTGTTTGATCAAAAGACTGTATAAATTAAACCTAGCTCATACTAAGAGTGGCCTTGCAGGACATCAACAAGATAAGAGTGGATTAAATTGTGTTAATGTTGTAATGGCCATGAAGAAATGGTTGCTTCTGAGAAAAGCTGCAATCAAACATCATAGACACCTCAGTAAGCATCTCAAAATTGAAGCCAACATGGAAGTGACAAAAATTGCAGCTCCACTCTCATGGGCTAGGTGCTGGCCTGAGAGCAAATTCCCATTGATTGCCATGTAAAAAATGCTAACTTCACAGCAGGAACAAACATGATAACAGCCTGAAACAGAAGCATTTCAGGTTTAATTGAGCTCCGGACGTCACATGACTCTCAGAGAGTAGACACCATGTTGGCAGGCAACAAAGGTAAACAAAATGAACGGGATCGGCGTGGATTTTACTTCGTCGGAGTTTACTTCACACTTTAAAAACGAAGAAATCGTTTTATATAGTCAGAAATTAAATAGACTAAACATCTCCTACCCTTACCGTGCCCCTGGGATACTTTTTAAAAATGCCAGAAGCTGTCGGAGCGGACTTCTTACCGGACCTGGCCAGGGAACGCCTTGGGATTCCCCCAGAGGAGCTGGCCCAAGTGGCTGAGGAGAGGGAAGTCTGGGCCTCTCGACTTAGGCTACTGCCCCCACAAGCCGACTCCGGATAAGCGGGTGAAAATTGATGGATGGATGGACAAATAACACAGATTTACATGTAAGAAGTTTAAATAGAGTGCTGTGCCGTTTGAATGTATAAACTGAACGCCAAGAGAAATCACTAGTCCGATTTTTTTCCGTGAATAAAATAAATTTGTCAGGCAGGAACATCTCAGGACCTGTCTGAGATCTGTCTCGGTGAGGCAGATAATAGCAATCCAAAGTGCTTTTTATGTGTGATCTGACAATTGATCAACCATTGCTTAAAAATTAAATACAGCTTAGCCGGTTAATTGCTGTGATCATAAAACACGTAAACGGCAGCACGCAGAACTCACGAGGCAACGTTTTACGTGATGTTTACTTGCTGCTATGAGTAATAAGACAGAAAAAGCCACACCAAAATAAGTTTAGGAAGCCCACTAAGAATCGTAATAAAAGCATTTAAAATAAACACCATACACAGTTGAGGAAACGTTGGTTTAAGTACCTGATATGAAGTGGTCGCTGCATAAGTGAAATCCTTTACTCTCGGGATCCCACAGCTTCATTTCAGCCCGGTCACTAGCGCGTTTTATTACAATGATCCAACGTTTGCGGCGCTCCGGATCTTGGGGAATCCTGTAGATGGCTCATTCCTTATGTCGTCATCTGTTCTGCATCCTGGGGCACAACAGGAATCTACCATATTTCCCGTTTGATTGAGTTTTCTGACAACAACAAATAGTCCAGCTGCGGGCTTCTGCCTGCCAATATGGCGCTGTTTCGATTTGAACTGCTGCATGCCGGGAGATGTGACGTCAACTCCCGGAGCTCTATAGGTCAAGTTTACAGTCATGACAAATGGGGGGGGGGGGGGGGGTCTATTTTTGTAACTCAGTCATTTAGATGTAATTAAAGCTAGAAATTATGAATGATTAGATTGACATGTAGTGCATTAATCGTCAGATCTAGCACTAGCGGCTTGCTCCAGAGAAGGCCACAGCCCCACAGTGAAAGTGTTTTGATTTTCTTAACTTTAGTTGCCTCCTCTTTGTATTCATGTTTGGATGCTAATTTTGCATTGATTGGACAAAGATGGTTAGCTGTGGACTTGGTTGTACTAACGGACCATCAAAGAAGTCTGAGCTCCGTTTTTAGTTAGCTAAAACGCTCAAAAACCAAGCCAAACACACAGCCTTGAGAGAATCAGTTAACCTGTCCCTTCCGGCAGACAGAACCAATTTAACCTCTTAGTTATCACACCGGTCTATTCATTTACCACTTTATCACACCAGTGTTACGTTTCTATTTTTCCGGCTAAAACGCTTAAAAGCCAAGCAAAACACAGCATTCCCGAAATCTGTTTATACATCTTTTCTGGTAGATAAACCAGTTTAGTGTCCTCTGAGTTTTGTGTATCAAAACCAGAGTTACGTTTATATTTTCGGCTAAAACGCTCAAAAACCCAGCCAATACAGCATTCCAGGAATCTGTTTAACAAGTTCCTTCTTGCGGACGACACCACTTTAATCTCTGGTCACCTAGGATTTTCTCTTGGTAAGACAAACGACAAAACAAGCTTGTCTCACCAGATCTCTCCGCTCAGGTCTTGACTTCGTAGATCTGCATGTCTCCCAGCGACGTCAAGACCCTCATACCGACCTCCCAGCGAAAGCTCAGCGCTGGAGGAGATTCGGGTTGTCGACAGTTCCCCGGCGTGGGCTCTTGGCGCCGCGAGGTGAACTCAGGACCCCGGCTTTCGAAGGACCAAATTATGTTAGGGATTTTATCAATAAACCCATTTCCTGCAGTCGAAGAGAAAAAAAGAGACAGTAAACAGATAAGCCATCAAATTGCACTCTGGGCAGAGCTCATTTGCATCTGCCAAGAGATCCTGCCCTGAGAGTGTATTTTATAACATAAGGAAAGAACAGAGGTGTGTGTATGTGTGAATGGGAACGAGACCGTCACTGTGAGAGAGACGGCGTGAGAATGCTTTCAGGCATTAGTTAATAGGATTAAAGTAATGAAATATAAAATTTCCATAACACAGACTTTGAATGAATGCCAGATAGATCCACAGCCGGCCAATCAGCACCTAGCTCATTTAATTCCATGTCCTGATCATAAACATTGACCCTTTGCACCTTCGCCACCTAATCACGGTGGGTCCACCATACTGGACGGTAAAAGCAGCGACACAATTACTAAACAGAGAGAAAAGTGGGCTGCATGGTGGCGCAGTTGTTAGCACTGTTGCCTCGCAGCACGAAGGTCGCAGGTTCGAAACTCGGCTGCGGCCCTTCTGCGTGGAGTTGCGTGTTCTCCCCATGCATGCGTGGGTTTCCTCCGGGTACTCCGGTTTCCCCCGAAGATCACAACACGCCCTATAGGTTATAAATTGTAAGTCGCTTTGGATGAAAGCGTCTGCTAAATAAATAAACATAAACATAATAAACATAAAAGTAAAGCCTGAAATTGTTATTGCAAGCTTTAGCATTCCTTCAAGTAGTTCACGGTCCGTTCAGTTATCAGAAGAAGTAGCACACCTAGGAGGGTCTCATAGAGAGCAGTATGTTAACTAGCTTACAAACGTTAGCTTAAGTTCTCTCTGCAACTGTTGTTTACCGATGGATTTATAACATTATGTTAAACAGCGCTTCACTTTACACCGAAGCTGAGTTGCGTTTACATCCTTGTCTGTTAGTGCAGCCAACTGCGCTGCAAGCTATTATTATTGTTCTGTGAAATCAGCAAAATAAAGCAGTAAAAGGCTAGAAACTGGCATGTTTTGACAAGCTTCACTGGAGTTTCATTGTGCGTAAACTGTCTTTTTGCTGTCCATCATAGCAAAGGGGGCGGTCCCATGAGTGGTGTGACGTCACAAGTGAAGGGTCAATAGAGAGACTAAGGCCTAGTCCACAAGGTAGCCGGGTTTTTTTATAAATGAATATCCGCCCCTCCAAAAACTTGCATCCACACCACCTCGTTTTGAAAAAACTCTGTCCACACGTACCGGGATAAATATGTTGTTAAGGACATGCCAGACCTGTAGGTGGCAGTACTTCCCCCGTTCTTAACCTCGTCCTTCGTCTGTGGTCTTCCGCAAGGAGCAGTAATTCCGCTTGCAAAAACAAACAAGCAAAAAGCGCTTGGACAATTGATAAAGCGAGCGCAGCTCTGAGGGCATCCATGCTGTCGGCTAGTGTAAACACAGGTCGCACACGTGATGTCAGCATTTGTTGTCGCGGAAAGTGACGTTGCGGACCTTAAAACTCCGGTTTTGTCTGTCCACACGCAGACACCCAAAACGGAGAAAACGCAGATCTTCACTTTGGCCGGAGTTTTTAAAAAAATCCGTTTTCGTGTGAAAAAACTCCGTTTTTGTGTGGATGACAGGCCAAAACGTAGAAAAATATCTATGTTTTGGCAGATCCCCAGCTACGTGTGGACAGGGCCTGAGTCACTTCCGCATCATGGGTCCCCTGAAGAATGAAAATAAATGCAAATCAACGGGGATAAAAAGGCTATTTTCTAATCTGCTTTGCCTTATGCCCTGGATCGCAGATATGTACTGCAATTTAAATGAAAAGTAATGATGGGTGTTTTGACCACGCCAGTCATGTACTTTGAGATTTTTCAGCTTGTAAAAGTTCATAATTAGCATGACTACAAACCAGAAATCGACACGTCGCATATATGACATCATCACATAATCTCCTCTCCCCTAGCGTAGCTGCTTACCAAATGGCCAGATTAATGGTGGCTGACCGATGTGGCTGACCTTACATCCATTTTCCCACAGTTTTCTCCATGTCTGGTTTGATAACGTCACTTTCGTGAAGCTCAATTGTAGTCCTGGACTTATTTTCACACAAAACCTAAAATAGTGTTTCCCCCTATTCAAAAATAAGCACATTCTTGGTATCAAAATGCATCTTTAAAATCCACTGACATCATATGTGAAATCCATGGCACAGAACGAGAGGAATTAGAAAATAGCATTTTTAGCCCCGTTGACTTGCATTCATTTTTTCGTTCTTCCGTGGACCCGTGGTCCGGAAGTAGATGGGCGTGACTTAGGCTCCCCATAGGCGGCTCCTAACACCTTCATCTTGGCTGTGTTGCACGTCTCATCACGCCCAGACAGTCCAAACATGAGAAAAGAGATGAAGCTGAGAGTCGGGCTGTGAGGGTGGGAGCAAATGACTGACACCCATAAACTGAACCAATCCAGCTACAACAAGCACTTTTTTTACTTCCGTGTTGGTTTCAGGTCTGGGTCTTCGGGGTTTCTGCTTGGTTCTGACCCAGTGGGCTGGCTAAACCAGTTTATAGGTCTTATTTGTAGGTCTTTATTATAATTTTGTGTTTGATCATTTATCAGAGCTCCTGGGCCATTGTAGACCCCAACAACATTTCATAGGCTGTACAAAGGCTCAAAAAACAGTTTCTAGTTGTAAAAAAAATGTTTTGGGTCTTTTTAAAATTGTATATAAATGTAATATCCTCTGGTGGCAAGAATAAGCTCACGGAGAGTGGGTTGTTCTTTGGGAATATTTATTACTCCAACACAGGTACAGCCATGCTTCCCGGCAACGAACTTCCGCTTGTCTAATGTTAAAGTACACCCCACTTTGCATCCAGAACACTAGGTCCACCTAGAGGCTTCCTGTAAAATGTTTAACCTCTCACAATACTACAATAAATTCATCACATGAATCATAAAAGATTTGCTGTTTGCCACAGAGGGGGGAAAAAAAGTGCTGATGACAGAATTTCCTGTTTAGTATTCTAACCAGAAAAGGTGTTCAATACTAGGCTAGTAAAACTAGACCAGATTCCTCCCTTTTAAGTTTAAATACAAATAATATACTTATTTAGTCTGGCTTGCCAGGCTAGTTCAACACAGATACCTTTAAGCAAACATTTAACTGTTTTGTGAACAATTTTTTAATGTGAAACTTTTCCAGATAAAAGTGTTTTTAATCAACCCCTAGAACATATTTTGTAAACGTCGTCTTTTTGTTTATTTCAGAAAATTCTGGTAAATTCAAAAACCTTTTGAAAAACACCTGAAGAATTTCTGTTTGCGGGACAGAAGAGAATCCATGAGTTTTCTTTTGTCCGACAGTACATGAACGCAAAAGGACAGCACCAACCGTGGCTCCGACTCTCTCAACACGGAAACAGGTGTTGTGCCGAAAGGAGCATGCCTGCCGAAATGCGTATCCCCATGAAATAAGCATAGAGGTAAACTAGAATACTTTATGAGCGACGAGGCTAACACGCTTCTGTTACGTGTTTTTCGTGAAAGCGTTTTGTTTTTGTTTACAAATATGATGAAATAGTTATAAAAAAATTACGTTTTTGAACGTTTGAGAATAATGTTTTAGTGAGCATTTTTTATGTATTTTTGTGCTTTCTCCCAACTATTTTGTTGTTGGTTCTTAAAAAACACACGTGACACAAAATTACTCATTTTAAAATATTTATTACTACTTTATTACTATTTCTTCAAATAAAAATGTTTTAAACATAAATTTCTTTAATTTATCTGCCTACAAACGATCTTTTTGTAAGGAATCACGCAGATAAACATAATAATATTACATTAATAGTACTTTTTAAGCGCCTTTCCACAACGGGGATGCACATTTCGCCAGGCATGCTCTTTTCGGCACAACACTTGGAGCTTCCCTCTCACAAGTCCGCCAAAACATAGTCTTCACTTTAAAGTTCCGGTTTGTAAACTTTGGGTCAGCGGCTGCTGATCCATTTCGGTTCAGAGTTCGGGATGATTAAAACCGAGAAGATTCTGCACCTGAAGAGTTACCGAGGCCGGAGGGTTCGGGTGGTTCGGGAGCACTATCTGAGGGAGCGGGTTCCCTGCTTCAGCTCTCTGTGTCAGGCGGCCTGTGCTAACGGTAAGTCCGCCAAAACACACAACTAGTTGCTAAAAACACACAAACAGCCGTTTAAAACACAACTAGTCGTTACAAACACAACCAGTCTATAAAACACACTACTAGTCGCAAAAAACAAACAAAAATAACTAAATAAACCGGCCGATAAAACACATCTAGTCGCTAAAAACACAGCCAGCCACTAAGAGCTAACGAGTGTTTTATTTCCAGTCCTTCATTTATTAAACCTTTATTTATTTTTATTTAACCAGATGAGTCGATTGAGAGCTCATTCTCGTTTACAGAGATGATCTGGCCAAGATGCAGCAGCAACAGACACATAGTTAGCTTTACACTAAAGAAAAACAGATAAGATAAAAACATACAAGATAAAACAGTTAGACATAAAGACAAAGGACTGTTCTATTATATAATATGTACCAGCGATCCAAACAGACTTAAAACTGTCTTTAATGTGCCAGTGTGTATTTTTCCTGGTTGATGGGGAGCAGTAGACACCTAAAACATTGCAAGCAAGCAGCATTTTTGTGTTGGAGTAAGACCTTACCAACGGATGCCTATTAGGGTCAAAAAGCCCTGAGGAGTGCAAACTTCAGGAAAATGACAAGCACATCAGACCTCCTTTCATCAGTGGCAACAAGTGAAGAGATAAATGTGTAAAACAATGTTTATTAATAGTGAAAGTTTTATAATCGTTTGTTACTAATCAGTAAATGCATGGACGTAATTGGGGGGGGGGGGGGGGGGGCATGTCCCTCCCCACTTTTTCCAACGTCAAGTTTTGACCCCTGCACATTTTACCATCCAAAAACAATATTACGCTATACTAAATTGACACTGGTTGAGCTCTAGGACCAAGCAGAAACCAACCGTTTGTGTTGAGACCTGTTTCCCATTAGAGCATACTGTAAAGATTTTTTTTGATTCATTTAAACAAAATTTTGCTTTAAACTTCATTTTCTCCAACAGATTTAACAAGCAGATTGGTTAAACTTGATTTGATGACTCGGACTGGAGCTGTTGGGCTGCGCAGTGGTGCAGTGGTTAGAGCTGTTGCCTTGCAGCAAGAAGGTCCTGGGTTCGCTTCCCGGCCTGGGATCCTTCTGCATGGAGTTTGCATGGTCTCATTTTGCATGCGTGGGTTCTCTCTGGGTACTCCGGCTTCCTCCCACAGTACAAAAACATGACTATTAGGTTGATTGGTCTGTCTAAATTGTCCTTATGTGTGTGTGTGTGTGTGCATGATTGTTTGTCCTGTGTGTCTCTGTGTTGCCCTGCGATGGACTGGCTCTCTGTCCAGGGTGTACCTTGCCTAATTGCCCGTTGACTGCTGGAGATGGGCACCAGCCCCCCCGCGACCCTACATGGACAAAGCGGGTTCAGAAGATGGATGGATGGATGGATTGGAGCTGTTGGTAGACTCACATTCTTGTCCAACCGAACGTTAGAGGACCGATATAATTTAATATTTGTATTTTCTCTGATGGATTTATTATCACAGGTAGATCAGTGTAACAGAACATCTGATTTCTGTATAAAACAGTGAATATGTTGTGTGTAGCCATGGTAACGACCTGATGACCCCTCAACAGATGGCAAGGTGTTGCCCGGAGACTTGACCCACTATGTGGTGCCGGGGGTGGAGGTGGTGGTCAACTTCCTGGAGATCCTGGAATTCAGGGAGCTGCAGGGAGTCATCTTCACCCAGACGGCCTGCCAGGCTCTGCAGAGTAAAGGGCGCAGGTACAACACACACAAACACACACACACATAGAGGGTGAAGTGGGTTGTCTGAAGAACTCCAGTCTACCGTCTTTTTTTATTCCAAAGTGATGGAGAACATCTCATAAGTTTTCCTGACAAACCATTAGCAGCTGGTTCTGGTGTGTGTGTGTGTGTGTGTGAGAGAGAGAGAGAGAGAGAGAGAGAGAGAGAGAGAGAGAGAGAGAGAGAGAGAGAGAGAGAGAGAGAGAGAGAGAGAGAGAGAGAGAGAGAGAGAGAGAGAGAGAGAGAGAGAGAGAGAGAGAGAGAGAGAGAGAGAGAGAGAGAGAGAGAGAGAGAGAGAGAGAGAGAGAGAGAGAGAGAGAGAGAGAGAGAGAGAGAGAGAGAGAGAGAGAGAGAGAGAGAGAGAGAGAGAGAGAGAGAGAGAGAGAGAGAGAGAGAGAGAGAGAGAGAGAGAGAGGAGAGAGAGATCGGCTGGCGGGATGATGTAGAGTGATATCTGCTGTAGGAAAATGCAATCAGCAAGGGCACAAAAACAAAACACGCTCAAAGATAGCGACAGAGCTCGAGACTAGGTCATATACCCAAACGAGTTAATCATCCGACGTCGTGTAGGTCTCAGACTGCCCCTCATATAGCCAGCCGGTGATTGCAGCTGAGTGGCTGCAGCTGGGCAGTTCTCCGGCACCGCCCACCTGCAGGAGAAGGGTTAGTGTGGGGAACAATATACCTCAGGCCATGACAGCTTGACCTTCTCTGGAACCGAAGCCTTTAGGAAAAGCAGCGGTTGCCGTCCGACCAGACCAGTCTTGGGATACTTCCGGGTCACGACAGTTTTATTGGCATCTAGCGAGACCCAAAAAGGGGGTCGTGATGGTTCAGCTTTTATTCTGAAAGGAACCGTTGCAGCAGTTGGAACAGCAACAGATTTTATCCAGCTTGTCGTTAGGTTCTTTCGGCTGAAGAGGAAAGTTACGGATTGAGAGAGAGAGAGAGAGAGAGAGAGAGAGAGAGAAGAGAGAGAGAGAGGGAGAGGGAGAGGGAGAGGGAGAGGAGAGAGAGAGAGAGAGAGAGAGAGAGAGAGAGAGAGAGAGAGAGAGAGAGAGAGAGAGAGAGAGAGACCGGGACCGGGTTGACCTCATTATGTCAGAGTTCTGCTGATGCAGGTGTGACTTTAACCTTCTGCTCCGGTTTCTGACTGACTTGAACAAACCTGTAAATAAGGATTCCCAGCTGACCTTGTCTCCGAGTCCAATTTGTTTTGGGTTTCCGCCGACTCGGCAGTGTCGCATCATTAGAGTGAGGCTTCGTTTCTGATGGTGTCAGGATTCTGTTAGGGCACTAACACGCAGAACCAGAACTGACATGGGTACGCTGGGTTCTGGTCCGATGCCAGGGGATTCAAATGCTTTGAATAAACTTTATTAGGGTTTATTTCTTTAGATGACGTGGGAGCTGTTGTAGTCTTTCCACCTGAGCGTCTTTTTCTGCCTCCTGCTGGTGAGCTCTGTGTTCTGATGCTCCTGTGTCGTTCAGGTGCTACAGCCGTCTGAGGAACCTGGTGAAAGACCCTCGACACGACTGTGTTCTGTTTGCTAACGAGTTCCAGGAGCACTCGTACCGCCCGAGAGAGAAGGGCGAGAGCCACGAGCAGTGGCAGACCAGGTGAGTGGTCCCAGGGTGTCAGGACACCAGAAGCTTTCATCAGATTTCCCACCTGAGGTGGGGTCAGAGGTTAGTATAGGTTTATTTATAAATTCAACAAGTTATTACATTTCAAATAAATGTTGGGAAATTAGAACTTTCCTACTTAATCGGGATTATTTGTAATAAAAAAAACAGAATAAGTTTAGTTTTCAGAAGGATTCAGAACGAGGCGACCAGGGGCCTCATTTCTAAAGCTGCTTACGCACAAAACGGGTCTGAAAAGTGCGTAAGTGACTTGCAACGCCAACTTTGTGATTTATAAAGAAACACCGGACAGAAAAACGTGGCAACTTTAAGCAAAACTTGCAGACTTGGAAGAGGGCGAGATGGTAAAATGTTTAAGGACACATTTTCACACCGTTGGCACAGTTTCATAAGTCGGAAAATCAGTTTGCGTAACTTTTTCATTTTTAGCTGAGCTTAAGTGGGGTTTTAGTAAGGATTCTATGCAGTTTTACAAACGAGGCCCTTGGTCTTCAGGAACCAGAATCAGCAGGGGTCCGTGTTTTTAACTGTTTAAACCAAAGTTTCAGAAGTGTTTTTAAATGTAAAGTTTGGATAAACGGTGTAAAAACCATCTGATGTATTATTTGTGGGTAGGTGTGTGTACGAAGCTGCAGTGTGGTACTACAACCACCTGGCAGGAATGATGAGCATCGTGATGGTTACAGAGGACGAAGATGTTGTGAGTCGGTTCAGCAACCTGAACTCTGGAGTTTTTGTCGTCACCTTCAAGGTAAACATGTCAGTCAGCAGCCAATCAGATCAGCCAGGGTTAGCCTAGCCCCAACCCAGGCTGATGGGCTAGGGCTAGGCTAACCCTGAAAGTCAAGGGCAGGGGGTGCTTGATCCTGGTCCTGGAGGCCCGGCATCCAGCATGTTTTAGTTTTAACCCTCCTCCAACACACCTGGTTTCAGTCAGCAGCTGATTAACAGACTTCTGCAGAGCTTGATGAGTTTCTGCACAGGTGATTCCACCACTGAATCAAGTGTGTTGGAGCAGAGAAACAACTAAAACATGCTGGATGCCGGCCTTCCGGCCCACTGCTCTGAGGCTAGGCTCACACTGTGCTGATGCAGTATTTTAGACAAAAGGAGGTCCAACTGGCAGGGTATCTGCAGGTCCTTAAAAAGTCTTAAATTTGCTTTTCTAAATTTAAGGCCTTAAAAATCCTTAAAAATGACTAATAATCCTTAAATACAGTTTCCAAAGGTCTTAAATTACCAAATACCCAATAAACAAGAATTTCTAGTTAGTCTTCAGCATTTTTTGTGTATGATGTTGGCGTAAGCGGAACCGTACACATTCAGTTGGTTGTGAAAGAGGGCTATTTTTAGATGAGCATATTAGCTGGTTAAGCTAGTGGGAGCTTGGTAATCCCACGTTTCCGACGTGGCTAGCACCGGTTCCAGGCAATAGCTGGAAATTATAGCTTAAATTTAATTTAAAAAATAGCTTAAATTTGGTCAAAGTGGCCTTAAAAAAGGTCTTAAAAAGTCTTAAATTTGGCTCCCTTAAGCCTGCAGATACCCTGAACTGGGTAGTGATGCACAAAAGCAGCCCCACACATCCAAACGTGTGCATTTCCTCCCAAGGAACCAAAAACGAGGAGAGGGTGCTCGCTGCAGAACTACAAAGGCGGAGCTGCACCAGAGTCAGCCCCGCCCACTCTCGCAAACTCAGCCTAGCCCACTGACTTCTTCTGTTTTTGTTTTTTAACTTTATCGCAAACTAACCTGACCCACATGAACTACGGCTGTTACTGGTTTACAAATGTTAATGCTACGTTCTATGCTCCAATTAAACAAGATAAATATAACTTGCTACATGACAAAGCCTGAATATATCCTGAAATGAAAGTTTCTTTTAGCAAATATCTGCCCACAGCCGCTCCAACAAAAGCGGCCTACAACAGCATTTCAGGCTATCGTGTGGGTTCTGGTAGTCCAGTGGCGAGATCGTAAAGTTTTGCCGTTGATGCTGGTTCGACTCTCGGTGGGGTCGGCAGCAATCTATTTATCCAGCTGAAACATTTAATTTGTTTATATTTTAGTTGTAATGTTTATTTTCTGCAAAATATTTATGTCTCTAAAAGTTCTTTGAATTTGGTCGTTCCTAAACAGCATTTTAGTTGAAACTCTGCTCACAAATGGACTCACACTGGCTAATTAAACATTAGTCATTATATTTTAGACGGTATACCAATAAATAGTTGTAAACATAGTAGTGGCAAGTGTAGCTAGAAAAGAAGAAAAAGGGTTTTAAACTACCTAATATTTCTGCTACTGGGAGGCGAACCTGCGCAAAACAGCACGTCTATCTTTGAACATCTTAGGTGTGTTCTTGCTGTGTCGTGGTAATTCCATGCTGTCGTTCTTTTTAAAACACAGAAACAGATTTGTTTACCTGTTTTGTTGCTACGTTTCGCCGCCGGCGAAACGTAGCGACAAAACAGGTAAACAAATCTGTTTCTGTGTTTTAAAAAGAACGACAGCATGGAGCATGTCTATCTGACTCCATAACCACTTCACCACTACATCTGATAAAAAGCAAGTGGCATCACACTAATTGTGCCATCCAGTGTGTCTTTGTAGATGGGATGTATGGTTTTTTCGGCGGTGTCTCAGTAGAAGTCATTTCAGAAATAATTTGTCGGAAAATTGAGAACCAAGACCAGACCCGCTTCGGGGGAGGAGACCAAACTGAAGCTGAGATGGGAGGAAAAATGTGTGAATGAGGCCAAAAATGGCTTTGGCGTGTTTCTTTTGAGGAAATGACAATATAACATGGTAAAAAGTTCCAAAAGTTAGATTTTTAATTATATGAAACCTTTACAAAAACTGTTCAATTAACCTCTCAACTCCGTCCTCAATCTTGCATTTTAGATGATGTTAGCTATAACACCCTCTTTGGTTCCAGAATGCTATCAAGTCTGACAACTGGAAGGAATTGGACTGACTCTGATGGAATGGGCGGGGCTGACTCTGGTGCAGCTCCGCCTTTGTGGTTCTGCAGCGAGCACCACTTGAAAACATGCATGATGGCTTCATTCACAGCTTTGGTTTCTAGAATAAAGTGTGACTTGGTCTCCTATTTAATCAAACATAAGCATTGTTCTTTTGGCAGGAATATAACTTACTGACATTTATGAGATGGATTAGAGCTGCATTTAAAACGCCAACATGTGTTGTGACCAGCTCAGACTAGCCGTTAGCCCATCAGTCTGGTCAGAATTAAAGAAATTGCTAAAGCAGAAAGTTAGAAGGTTAGGATCAGCTCTTCTGGTCTAGATGTTCCCCTGAGACCTGACTTCATCCCTTCCAGGATTATCTGCAGAACTTCTGGCCCGATCTGCAGGCGGCCCACGAGCTCTACGGCTCCATTTCTCAGGCGCTGCAGGAGAAGGAGAGCGAGGACACTCAGAAGGAGTTTTGTGAACATCTACCTACTGAAGTTCTGGCGGCTGGCATCAAATCTGGGCGTTACATTCAGGTAGAACCTCACCTGATCGGGTCGACGTCTAAACTCAGGGTCACACGGGTTGGCTAACTGGTTAATATTCTGTTGAACCAGGGGATTCTGAACGTCAGCAAACATCGAGCTCAGAACGAAGCGTTTGTTGCGAATGATGATATTTCCAACAAGAACTCAGGTACAGAACCTTCCTGAACCTCTCTGCAGAACGACTCAGAACTTGTTCAGAATCCCCCCGGTTCTTCTTCCCAGATCTGATTGGGGGGGTTCTGGTGTACGGCGTGAGGAACCGCAACAGAGCCGTGCACGGGGATTCTGTGGTTCTGGAGCTTCTGCCGAGGAGCGAGTGGAGGGGAAAGGTCACGGCTCTGACGGAGGGACCGGTGGACGAGAGGACAGGAGGGGACAGTGAGAGTAAACCAATGCCCACAGGTGAGGCCGGACCTGAGAGTCCAGCAGGCCCTGGGTGCTTCTGATTGACTGACCAGGTGTGGTTCTGGGTTCAGGTCGGGTTGTGGGGGTCCTGCAGAGGAACTGGAGGGACTACGTGGTGACCTTCCCCCCAAGGGAGGGGACTCAGAGCAGGAACTCCCAGCGCATCCTGGTGATTCCTTGGGACCGACGCATCCCTAAGATCCGGATCAGCACCCAGCAGGCCGATGTTCTGCAGGTCTGGGTCCAGTTTCTCTGTTGGGTGTTTTGGTTCTGATAGGTCCACTTTCTGTAGGAACAAGTTTCATTTTTTATTTCACAGGAAAAAGTTTTATTTTCATTATCGACTCTTTATGCTGACAGGATTGTTAGTGCTGAAGAGGGATTACTGTGTCCCGGTTCTGGAGAATTGGGTCTAGCTTGTCCATGAAGCTCCATTCTGTTTTGTCCTGCAGGACCACAGAGTGGTGGTGCGCATCGATTCATGGGAAAGCACCTCCCTCTATCCCAGCGGTCACAGCGTTCGGGTTCTGGGTCGGGCCGGAGAGCTGGAGACCGAGGTCCAGACCATCCTGATAGAGAACTGCATCCATGTTCCTCCCTTCTCAGAAGCTCAGGTCAGAACCGGTTCTACTGTGATCTGCTGACTCCCACCAGGGGCGGGGTCCAGCGTCCCCGTCAGAGGTGGTTCAGGAGTCAGGAACCGGGTGCGAGGCAGCGATAACTCGGGTCATCGTTAGCTGGTGATCCGAGCAACAGCTGCTTTTTGGTTTCCATGGAAACGTTTTGTATTTACCCAGCATCCATAATGTTTGACAGCTGACTGAGCCGGTAGAAGTTCTGATCAGAAATCGCCATCACAGCCTTCCTGTGACCTTCTCTCCATCAGCTGAGGGAAATGCCATCGACCTCGGCAACAAAGCCATGGACGGTGGATCCGGTTCAGGTGTCAAAGAGGCGGGACCTCCGGGAGACTCACCTGGTGTTCAGCATCGACCCGCGTGGCTGCGAGGACGTGGACGACACTCTGTCGGTGCGCCGTCTCCCTGGCGGGTCGCTGCTGGAGCTGGGGGTCCACATCGCTGACGTCACTCACTTTGTTTCTGAGGGATCGCTCACCGACCTGGAGGCTCGCTCCAGGTGAGCAGAACCAAAACTTTAGACTCGGTTTTCACTCCAGACCTGGGTTTGGACCCCTGATCTGAAGGCTCTGTGGAATTTCAGGGCCACTACCTACTACCTGGCAGACCGCCGCTACGACATGCTGCCGGCTGTTCTCAGCGCTGACCTCTGCTCCCTGCTGGGAGGTGTCGACAGGTGAGTGGATCCATCATCTCCTCACAGAAGCTCCGCCGGTCCAACGGGTTCGCTCTCGTGTTCAGGTACGCCATGAGTGTCCTGTGGGAGCTCGACGTTCAGACGATGGCCGTCGCCAAGGTGTGGTTCGGTCGCACGCTGATCCGATCCTCGTACCAGCTGCACTACGAGCTGGCCCAGGCGCTGCTGAACGGGGAGGAGGCAGAGGTACCGGAACTGGCCCAGCTCGCCTCGGAGGAGCGGGACGGGAAGCTGGCCGAGCTGGTGGAAGCGCTGGAGACACTGACGCATGTGGCGAGACACCTCCGTGCGCAGAGAGACTGTGGAGGTGCGCTGGAGCTGGAGGGGGTGGAGGTACGTGGTTCTACTGGGTCGGTTCTGAACTCGGGGTTCTATATTGAAACCTGGACCCGGTCCTCCTCAGGTCCGAGCCCAGCTGGATGAGAAGCGGAACATCACGGCGCTGGTCCCCCGTCAGCCGCTGGAGGTCCATGAGACGGTGGCAGAATGCATGATCTACGCCAACCACTGGGTGGCGCGCAAGATACAGGAAGTGTTTCCGTACCAGGCTCTGCTGCGGCGCCACCCGCCGCCACGCCAGGAGCTGTTTGGTCAGCTGGTGGACACGGCCCAGGCCCGGGGCTTCAGCATCGACACCAGGTGACACACAGAACCAACAGGTCCATCAGAACCGACCAAAACCAGCTGATTTATAAACTCATTGGGTCAAAAGATCTCGAGGGTTCTTGGTTTCCTGGTGAGTCTCGGGAACATCTGGAACCCATTTGGGTTCAGATCAGAACCACCAGATGACTTTGGCACCAGATTCAGCAGGTCTTGTTGCTCAGACCCGATCAGAACAATCCGTGGTTCTGTAGTGACCCGTGTGACATCACACGTTGGCATGGGATGTTCCTGCTTCTTTTAGAACAGAACTTGTCCTGGATCTGGTTTAGGAAGGGACCATGTTCTAGCCTCTTCCGTTCTGGGCCGCTTTGTTGAAACCAGAACCTTTGTGACTAAATGAGAAAATCCCGTCTGCATTGGATCACCATGACAACGGCACCAGGTGATCTGGTTAGGAACGTGTCACCTGTTGCCGTTTATCCCTACCTGACCTGGTTCTGTGACCGGACCGGATTCTGGTTCAGGATCTAAACGTGCCCCTCTGATCCCTGCAGCACCAACAAGGCTTTAGCTGACTCTCTGAACCGGGCCGTGGACCCCCGGGACCCGCTGGTAAACAGGCTGCTCAGGATGATGGCGACCCAGGCGATGTCCCAGGCCGTGTACTTCTCCACCGGTTCTGAACCCGAGGACCAGTTCTTCCACTACGGTGAGCCCGGCGTTCCCGCTGAACAAAGCCGTTGGTCTCAGTGACCCGACTGTTCTACTCTGATGTTCTGCAGGTCTGGCTCTGGACCGGTACACCCACTTCACTTCCCCGATCCGACGGTACGCCGACATGGTGGTTCACCGCCTGCTGACCGCCGCCCTGGCCACGGAGCAGGGGGCGGAGCCTGTCGAAGCGCCCGCTGGAAATAAAGAAATGGAAGAGCTAGCGGAGCACATCAACAACAAGAACCGGGTGAGAAGAGCGGGTCGGTTCTGAAGCTCCGTGGTGTTTCAGTCTGATGAGGTTCTGAGCCGTTTCCATTCTGCAGGCGGCCCAGCGGGCCCAGAACCTCTCCATCGGGCTGTTTCAGTGCCTTTTCTTCAAAGAGCGAGACCCTGAGACGGACCCGCGGTGCGTGGCTGGCGCCGTCATCTACTCCATCCGAGACAACGGCGTGCTGGTGTTTGTCCCAGAGTAAGGAACCGACCCGGTTTGTCAGCAGCATTGAGGTTCTTTAAACAGAAGTTTGGACATTACCCGAGATGGGCTCCAGTTTACAGAACCGGGCCTGGACTCCGGACTCTAAATGAGTTTGGTTGGACCCGGTTGGCTATTGGAGGATTTTTTGTTAACAGGACGGCGTGAACTTCATGGGATCGGGTCGTTCGCGGTTCTGCAGGTTTGTCGGATCCGATTCTGATGAAAACAGAAACTTCTTCCTTGTGATTCTGGGTCGGCACCAACTGAATTCTGGGATATTTGTTTAGATATTAGAAGTCTGGGAGCGTAAATAAGTGGTTCTGGTTCTGACCCGGGTCGCTGCTGTTTACAGGTACGGTGTGAAAGGTCCAGTCTACTTGAAGAACAAGGAGGGTCAGGTGGTGTCAGTGGGACCTGACGGAACCTGTGAGTGGCAGAGTGGTTCTGTCCAGCGACACTCGGACCACATCAGAACCACCTCTGCCTGTGGCAGCGCCACCTTCAGGCTGTTTGACCACATCACCGTGAGTAAACGTCTCAGAACCGGGCCTGCTGAGAAACCCACTGAGCTCCCGTTTGTCCCCTCAGGTCCGCGTCTCCGTCCTGTCCTCCAGCTGTCACTCGGACACTCTGAACATGGAGGTCATCAGCAACAAGCCGCACCGCAGCAGCTCGACGCCGCAGCAGGTCTCCTCACAGGGCCGGAACCAGCTGGTCCAGGAGGTGGTCCGACTTGCTGAGGAGGCACAGAAGGAGACCCGGAAACCCAAACTGTCCCGAGAGGAGAGGGAGTTCCGGCAGAGTAAAACTCCTAATCTGTACTCCCTTCTGGAGGAGATCCGAGAACTGTCCCTGTTGGACCCGGAGACGGAGCCACGCCCCCCCGAGGGGACACAGGTGGACACCTGAACGTCCTGCAGAACGTTTGGTTCTGTCAAGTTTTATTTTTAAAATCTGAGAACGAGGCTTTAAAAATAAAAACCGAAGTTTCAGGAAAACTCAAACTTTATTCTGACTTTTATAATAAAATGTGATTCGTATAAACGTCTCTGACCTTTGACCTGCAGCCACAGTCTTTGTGTCCCAAAACCTGGACTCTTTCTTCACCTTCAGGTCACAAATGTCAAAACATCCAGAACCAAGCACAACCAAGTGGACCAGAACTGCAGGTTGTTCAGGTTTTAGAACCACGCTGGCATTAAACTTCTTCCTCCGGCCCCTCTGGGACCGGTTCCTCCTTACCAAGAGTGGACTCAGTAGGAGGTTCTGGGTCAGCGTGTGGAGGAGCAGGAGGTTCTGAGTCGGCATGTGAAGGAGCAGGAGGTTCTAGGTCCATGTGTGAAGGAGCAGGAGGTTCTGGGTCAGCGTCTAGAGGAGCAGGAGGTTCTGGGTCAGCGTCTAGAGGAGCAGGAGGTTCTGAGTCGGCATGTGGAGGAGCAGGAGGTTCTACAGGAGGTTCTAGGTCCACGTGTGAAGGAGCAGGAGGTTCTGGGTCGGCGTGCTGAGAAACGGGAGGTTCTGGGTCAGCGTCTAGAGGAGCAGGAGGTTCTGGGTCCTTGTGCGGAAGAGCAGGAGGTTCTAGGTCCACGTGTGAAGGAGCAGGAGGTTCTGGGTCCTTGTGTGGAAGAGCAGGAGGTTCTGGGTCTGTGTGTAGAAGAGCAGGAGGTTCTGGGTCGGCGTGTGGAGAAACGGGAGGTTCTGGGTCAGCGTCTAGAGGAGCAGGAGGTTCTGGGTCTGTGTGTAGAAGAGCAGGAGGTTGTGTGCTGCAGGACCGATCCAGGTCCAGATCTTGCATCTTCTCCTGGTCAGCAGAACCATTGAGGATGTTGGAGGAAGCTGGCGAAGGCCCGGTGTCAGAAGGTTCTACACAAGAAGAGAAGACAATTAGCGATCCATTTGTTCTGGTTTTGTTTTATATGTTTTCTGAAGATGAACCAAGTAGAACCGATCCCTCGGGTCGGTGAAGCAGATCAGAACTTTTTCAGTTTTTAATGAATTTGTGAACAAAATTATCAGCTGGTTTAAAACTCAAAGATCCTCTCAGACCTTTTGGATTTTGTGTTTCTCTGATAAACTAATAATTATAATTTAACCGCCGGTCCCGCCGACCACCACCAGCAGGCAAGGCGGGTTAAGTGTCTTGCCCAAGGACACACCAGCAGCATTCTCTGGTTGGAGCCGGGATCAAACCTACAACCTTCCGATTGCTGGACTACCCGCTCTCCTTCCTGAGCTACAGCTTCTAATCTTTTACCACCTTCTGACATTTGTGATTTCTAAGTTTTTGCAGCTGGAGGAATCATCCCAGAGCTCCAGCGACCTCTAGTGGTAGACACCAGAAACTACACAAGTAGAATCTAGATTAGTCAGGACCGATTGTCCTCCCCGGGCTGCCATAGACCAGGTAGTTCTGGTTCTTCTCACCTGTTTGCTGCTGACGAGCGATCCTCCTCTCCAGCGCTCGCTGCCGGTTCAGCTCCATCCTGTCGAGCTGATCCTGAGTCAGAGGCGGGACAGCCGGAGGAGCAGGGACCGGGGTGGACCGGAGAAGACCTTGTGGGTCTTTAACAGAACTCTCACTGCTGAAGGGATCAAAATCCTGGAACACCTGCATCTCAGGTGGAGCTTCTTCCTCACCTACAAAACATTTGGAGAACACGTGAGAGAGCGGAGTCAGAACCAGCCAGTAAGCCGCTGGTTTTAAAAAGGTTCTAACTCAGGTTCCATCAGTTTTACGACCTGAAACATGGAATTCTGTCCTGCTGGAGTCGCTCTACATGCTTTAGATCTGTAAAATGTTGTGGTAATTATATCAGCTGGTCCAAAACTCTTCATCTGAACCACGGGAAAGTCTTTGTTATGAATCAAAAGGGTCAAGTTTTCGCCATCAAATTGACACAGCATAACCTTTCACACACGCCAGAGCCGCAAAGTCAAGGCTGCACCAGCTGGAGGATCCAGACGCACAAATCAACCCTTTGCTCACTTATTGTTCTTCACCGCAGACATAAATAAACTGTCAAGGTCTCCCTCAAAAGCCCTTCTCTCTCTGTGTAAAAGTCAGACTGCTGGATTCCTCACTCTGAATAAAAGTGAACCTACACGAATCCTACAAGGCTTTACAACTTATAAGTTAATTAATCATATGGTTGAATGAACACGATGTTTAAATGAAATGTTTGAATAATTTGTGATTAAATCAATGAAGTTGAAATGAATATTGCTCTTACAACGATCCATTGCCGATCTTATGACCAGTATGTGTTTGATTTAACAAGTTAATCATCGTCTACACTCGTACATCTTCATAAGAGTCAAATTCAGGTTAAGCTTCACCTCACATAAGTGTTTCAAGACAATCTCATTCACAGTGTTAAAAAAATCTTTGTATCTGAGGAGGACGTGGCTTTCTGAGGGATGTTGGTGAAAACTCAGAAACGTGTCTAATTCTGATTGGCTAAACTTGGCCAGAAATCATAATAAAGTGGTTTAATGAAACAAGAATTACTTCCCGAGTGATGCCGTTTCTAGCAGAGTTCTGAACTGGCCAATTCGGGACAAGCATCCTTGAGACATCTCTTCTGACATACAGTCAAACCTGTTTGCACGCTGCAAGCTGACACAGCCAGACGGCTCCCTAAGAGCCACATCCACTTAGACGCAAACAAGCATTCCAGCTACTGTTGTGACCTGGAGACGTCTCAAGACTGGACGGGTCGTATCGGAGCTCATCTACGGGCTCCCGGTGCCGTGAGATCTACCCGACTTCTGACAGTCCGGATCTGCTGGGGGTCTCCGCCAGGGTTTGTAGACACAACAGATTGCGTCTGATGCTGTTTTATTAATAATCGACTCTCTAGTTTAGAGCAGACAACAAATTATTTTACACCCAGATTTCACAATTTCTTCCAGATACAAAGATTCTGATTAGGGCTTCACGATTTTAGGAAAGCCTGCGATATTCGATAATATAGATTCATATTACGATGACGATATCACTTGTGATAAATAAAAACTTAACTCAGGAACAAAAATGATAAAAAAATAATAAATTAAAATGAGAAAAGCAAAAGATGTGAGGAAAGGGAAAAAGAAAATGATCAAGAAAAGGCAATCAGTAGATTGCGGGAAAAGCAGAATCAGCAAAAAGAGCAGAACAAAGCTAACTCAGGTGTTTGCTAACCATCAAAATTGAGTGCCGTCCGCCTCGGGGGCGGGCGTCTGACCTATGAGAACCCACCCAATTGGCCAAATGGGTGAAGAGCTCTATTTGATTTGTTTAAAAACACATAATACCGGTACTTCCATTTGATTGACAGAACGCATTATGTTTAGTTAACATTTGAGCTGACCATTCATTGCGATATTTATCTGTTCTTTTCGATATGCATATTGTGCATGCTGATATCGCGATAACGATATATTTACGATATATTGTGCAGCCCTAATTCTGATAAACATCTAGCTTACATCACACCACCTACACATCACGGCATATCCACTCCATCACATCTCATTATTCATATCTTGTCATGTAAAATCATTAGTTTAGGAAAGAATAAAATTTCTTTTTTAACTATATACTTGAATCTGAATTAATACGAAGTGTGTTTATGATCCCTGAACAAGTAAAAGTAACTATAATCTTCTGATTAATCTTCAAAGATCAATCAGGTTGATATTTCATATTTATATGGAATCATCACACCTTATTGGTCATAACTCATTCGCGGTCGTCACGCTATAAAAGTGTGACTGCTACATCTGGATGCTGGGAAGGAGCATGGGGAGTTCTGGACTGGATCTTGTTGGTATCCCAGTCTTAAGGAAAAGTTCTATCTCTTACCGTCTTTGTCCATGAAGTCCTCGTGTGTCAGCGGCATGTCCAGTCGAATCCGTTTGAGACACGTCTGACAGCAGAAAGACCTTTAGGATGAAGTTCTGGTATCTTTACGGAGACACTCAGCGGCTCTCGCTCACCTGCACGTCCTTCTTGCTGCCAAGTTTTTCCAGCTTCTCTATAAAATCTTCAAACTGCAGTTTGGGATACAACCTGTGGGCCCAGTTCTCCATCTTCTGCATCAGCAGCTTCAGGTCCTCCGCCTGATGGGACACAGATGCGGGCGGGAGACAAAAAGGTAAGAAACGCTGATGGAACCAACAGTCCATCCCAGAACTGGACTGACAGTTGGGCCAGTGAAGATGAGGAAGAACCAGAACCCAAACACCGTTCCATGGAAGCATGTCATGAAGGCTGAAGCTTCCAACTTTGAGGTCATCCAGACGCCGGTCTGACTTCGTTTGAAGACCTGATCTGATGGTTTGAGTCAAACATTCAGAACGGTTCTCCTCACTAACAGAACTCACCTCGTGACCTTTGCCTCTGAAGTGAACATCATCAAACAGCGTGCGTAGAGCTGGAAGTCCTCTCTCTGAAATTAGTCTGAGGAGAAACGAATATCCATCCGTTAAACATCACGTCTTCTCACACAGACCTCCAGACCGGCTCAGAACTGCGTCTGAGAGGTTCTGGTGGGTCCGTTTCCTCCCAGAAACACTTTGAGGTTTCTGGTTCTGAAACCTGAGAAGAATCTGAGGTACCTCTGAGAGTCCAATTTGGGTTGTGGTCTCTTCACTCCTTTTCGTTTAGCAGCAGGAACGTCGGCCAGCTTCGACACCTCCCCCTCCTCCGCTGCATCCCATCACACACACACATTTCAAAATAAGAGCATCTTCAGGTGTTTCCTGTTTTAATGTTACATTCTGACAGCAGGCTCACCATCTCCAAACAGCTCCCCGTGTTCCTGCTGTCCAGGAGAATGGGGGGGAGGAAGAGGAGGGAAAGCTTCATCCTCTAACCCGTCATAGTCAGGGATGTCACCAAGAGCGTCCTCCTGAGAGTCAATCATGGTGAAAACGCCTGGAGGAGACAACAATCAGCCACAGCCAGATGAAAGCTGATCATAGAAACAGCTCCTTATTTTGTTTGCATTCGCAGAATCACAAAACATCTCATTTGCAGCGGATTTCAACTAAAATAATTTATTAATATTCAACTGTGTGAATGAAAATCTGTTAAACCTAAACCAAACACTTTATTTAGACAAACAGAAGATGTGAGATTAAAGCATCAATGTTTTATTACTAATGGATGTTTTTTACATCCACGTAAAAATAAAAAACTTATGCACTGTTTTTGTTTTAAGGCACGATCTGACATTATTTCTCTGTTCGGGTTTTCCAACAATCTAACAGGCCACAAATGGCCCAAGAGCCACACTCTGCCCATCCGGGTCCGGCAGTTGAACTCTGCTTAGTTTAAAACAGAGTTCAACACTTATATTACATTTGTAAATTCAGATATCATTTGTATCTAAACGTTTTAAGTCGTGCTTATATACAATCGGAGCCTCATATTATATACCGCCTGCTGTAAAAGGAAAGTCCTAACCCTTTAACCGAACCTACGGTTGTAATAAACCGGTTGACTCGTTTAACTAACTAACTCCACCCAGATCAACGTAGTTAACAGGTTTAAATCTGCGAAAACAGCTCCTTAACTCACCTTGTAACAAAAGACTCGATGAACGAAATTACATGCAGAAGGAATTTACCGCCAACTTCTTCTTCGTTGGTGTCCAACAGTGACTGGTTTCCGGTGTTAAAGCAAAATGTGTTATTCCGTTAAACACGGTTTCCAAACCAAGCCTTCGAAATTTCACCCTTCTGATTAATTATACAAATCACAGACGTAAAGATGTATTTTTTGTGCCATAAATACATTATTCATGCCTATGGTACAACTAATAACAGAAGAACGGGTCAGCCGGATGTGTCTCACTACTGTTTCCGGCAGAATGACATTGATGAAAAACTGTTCCTGTGTGTTCTTGCAGCAACTGACAAAACAATTCAAAAAAGGAAGAGTGAAAAATGTGGCTTCTTTTTTTCGGGAAACATTGTTCTCTAAAACATCAGATTAAAGTGAGAACCAGAACGGAGTGAATCTGGAGCGACCATGAGTGTGGAAGATTTTTTGACGAGGAAACACATTTCGACATAACACCTAGATGTTGCAATCAAGTTTTTTTTTTCAAGGTTTGATGTTGTAAACTCGTTTTTTCTGCATGATGGGTAACAGGGCTGTCTGCCAACTTAAAATAAGTCTTGGAGTGAGATTTTCTTTATTTAGATTTTAAAACCAACACACGTATATTAAGATTTCGACAACTGTGTTTAATTTGTAAATTCAAATATAATTTAATTTTGATTCTAAATGTTTTGTTTGATTTGAGTACAGATGAATAGTGCATTAAGTTTGATGATACAGTCTGGCAAAACACTGTAACTTCAGTTTGCTATGTAAAAAAGCCACGTGTTAATTAATTAGCGTGCAAAGACAGTAATGTGTTTCTCACACACTCACTGCTTGGGACTTGGCAACCATGCACATTCTATTTATCAGCTTTTACATCCACGGCTCAGTTTTTTTCTTATAAAATGTATTTCATCAGGGTTGGACAAAAAATTACAAATACTATCTCAGTCAAATCTGATGCCAAATTCTGGTCCTGTAGAATCACTAGGCTGCATGTTTTAGATGTTTCTCTGCTCCAACACATCTGATATTAAAGGCAAACTAAAATCTTCAACAGGGTCTGAATCAATCTGAAATGTGTTTTGATGGATCGATGTAGGCTCACACACACACACGACTATGAGTTCACCAGGGGGTTGGATCGTGCTCACTGATTAAAACCGAAGGTCATCAGTCAGGGTTCTAGAAGGACTCACAAATCAGGAGATTCTGCTTGTTTTGAATTTTATTTTCAACCTGAAAATAAGCTTCTCTTCAGATAGACGAGCAGTACAGTTAAAGCAACAATAAATAAATGAAGTCGGGCTTCTTCAGCTCCACGGTCTCTGAGCTCTGATTGGAGGAAAACAGGAGGCATCCTAGATGCGTCGGCGCAGCAGGAACATGAAGAACACGGCGCTGAGGAGAATGCAGAGCGTACTCACGGTAGGAACAACGATCTCTGTCACCATCTCCATGTGGCCGATTAGCGGATCTGAAACACACCAGAGCTGTTCTGGGATCTGTTTAACCAGGGATCAGGACTGTAAACAACTCTAGTTCTAATCATGGTTAAACTGACTTAAATGGTAAATGGCCTGTATTTGATATAGCGCCTTCTAGAGTCCTGGAACCCCTCAAGGCACTTTACAACACAATCAGTCATTCACCCATTCACACACACATTCACAACCTGGTGGGGATGAGCTACAATGTAGCCACAGCTGCCCTGGGGCACACTGACAGAGGCGAGGCTGCCGAGCACTGGCACCACTGGTCCCTCCGACCACCACCAGCAGGCAATGTGGGTTAAGTGTCTTGCCCAAGGACACAACGACAGCGACAGACTGAGCGGGGCTCGAACCTGCAACCTTCCGATTACGGGGCGAGCACTTAACTCCTGTGCCACCGTCGCCCCCTTGAACCATCAAAGGGACTCAGACTTTTATTTTGGTAATTCTTCTGTTTACAACAGTCTGACTCTGGATGTTTTTTTAACCCTCCCACTCTCCTAATGGGTGAACCCACGAGGAAAGTTGAGCAGGGTTGATGGTTTATCCCTTGAGGTCCACATGGCAGGGGTGAGGAGTGAGCACCACCTCATCTCTGCCATGTGGACCTCAAGGGATAAACCATCAACCCTACTCAATGGTCAACTTTCCTCGCGGGGTCACCCATAAAGACAGTGGGAGGTTTACATATTTAGTGTAAAATCTCCACCTTTTTATTTAGATATAACATTTAGGTTCAGCTTTGCATGGTTGGATTTAATTCTAAATCTTTGTTTTCAATGTTTTAAATTGAGGTTCAATTTTTGGATGCTTTACTCAGTAATCAGCACCCCATAGAGAATGCGTTTACTCGGGATTTAAGGGTAACTCCTGTGAACAGGTGACTCGTGTAGAGGCTTAAAACCATGAGTTAAAACTGTGTGAAGACTCTGATCAGGAACTTCCTCCTAACTATCAGATTCTGTTCACATCTCAGGACTTCTGTGATGAAGCTTCAAAGGCCTGAAGAACCCCATCCTGTTTCCATAGCAACAGTTGGACCTAATCATCATCACCTGCTGGTGTGGAGTTTAAACATTTTTCTAGCTGATGAGAGAAAAAATGACAGCTTGATGAGTTTTTCTGTGTGTGTCCTCCTCTCAGCGTCCTTCGTGGTACCGACCTGCAGCCAGCAGCTGGTTACTGGAGGAGCACGTCTCCACAGCTTTCCTCTTCCATCCTTCCACCTGGAGAACCAAACAGGTCCGAGTCAAACAGGATTTTAAATGCTGAGCATGTTTTTTCTTACCTCTCTGGGGTTGGGAAAGCCGTTGGAGCTGATGATGCGTTTATAAAACTGGACTGAAGCCTTCGGGTAGCGAGGTTTGTTTTTGTTCCTGAAGTCCACAAAGAAGAGTCCAAACCTCTGTGAGAATCCTTCATCCCACTCAAAGCTGTCCAGGAGGGACCAGGCTGTGTAGCCCTTAACGTTCACACCGTCTTTAACAGCTGTGAGTTCACATGAGGACACTTTTAGACGTAACACCAACCAGAACAACTTCCTGTTCCTGCTCCAGACAGAAAACTGTCACCTTTCAGCATCTCATTGATGTAGTCCTTAAAGAACTGCATCCTCCAGTCGTCACAGAGGTCGGTACAAAGCATCTTCTCCGAGACGCCGTTCTCCGTCACGTAAATCATCGGGTTTCCATACTGGGCCTGTCAAGGACAACCCACATTACTGTCCAGAGATCCAGAACCTGATCCTCCTGAGTCCAAACATCCAGATCACCGTTTGTAAAGTTAGCCAAAGTCCAAAGGAAAACCTTTTAGACCTTCAGAAGCTCTGGAGAACTCCTGATCCAGAACTGCTTTAACAGATGACAGAAACGCCTGGCTGCTGGGAAGGGCAACAAAACAAGATGAGGAGCGAACCAGTGGCTAGTCTGGTCTGGATCAGGGGTTCTGGTCTGGATCAGGACTTTGTAACAGTTAAATACATCAGTGACTAATTCCTTCCTATCAGAGTTAAACTTTGGCTTTTCTAATGGAAAAAAAACCCCAAATCATGAAAGTTTAACAGAAAATTGTAAAAATTTTTAAAAAAAATCGTGGAATTGTGGAAAAAATGATATCCTGGTACGGACACCTTCAATCATGGATCCGGTCCTACTGGCGAGGCTTTACGTTTGTACCTTAACAAAGTTCAGCAGGCGTCGGAAGCCCCAGGGGACTGAATAGAGCCACTCAGAACCAGGATCAGGCCACCGTGGGTCAACCAGCTCAGCCAGGTCCCGATCTGCAAAGTAGCTGTCCCCAAGGCCTGATGGGAAGTTCTTCTGAGTGATGTAGCGGGTGGTGTAGTGTCCCAGCCCCAGAAAGTCCACCGTGCCTTTGATGTAGCTCTTCTCCTGAGGTGAGAAAACAGGAAGCCGAGAAGCTCCCAGACCCTGCTGACCGCTCTTCCTGCCTAGAGGTCAAAAGGTCAGGAGTGACGTCAGGAAACAGACCGAGGCCGTTTCTCAAAACTCAAGGACATTAGTGCATTCTTGTGTACTGGACAAGTATGCTCTTGGCATAGACACCAGAAAGTCCGTTCTACCGAGTACGGTAGGGTGAGGATGGCATTTGGAACAGAACAATACTCTGTTGCGTCATGGCAACAAGCGCTGCTTGTTTCTAGCTACGGTTAAATGACCAGATATAAAAATAAAAGTTTAGTTTGTTCATTAAATAACAAAATAACAACAAAAACATATTAGTTGTATTATATTTGGACCACGTTTGATCAAAACTGATAAAATACCAGCCTTTTCTGCTGTTAAATGAATTAAACAATTTGTTCTTCATCAAAACAGAGCTATTCTGCTTTTATTTTGATAGTGGGTTAGCTAATTAGCTTTTTGAAGGATCATGAAAAGTAAAACCCAAATACACACGGCAAATTTTACAGGTTACACAATTATTTACAATAATAGACAACTTAATATTTGTTTATTCTTATTTCTGATATAAAACTCTATAGTTGTTAGATTGATAGTAGAGAAAGGTTGACGCAATGCATTGTGGGTAACTGCTGTCCCAAGTCCACAGAAGGATGCATTAATGCATCCTTGATTCAAAAGGAAGAGCAAGAACACATCCGGGAACTTTGAGCGAACTTGCCATGATGCATACTTAGGATTGGAACAGTCCTTGAGCCATCGTTGATGACGTTTCACAAAGACGTGGGTACACAAGTACACACAAGTACACATAAGTATGCATATTGAGAAACGGCCAGTATGTCTTAAGGTTCTGTCCAAAGATTTTGATCCAGATTTATTGTGTTAGTATTCTCCTCCCTAATGTTTCACTGGGGGATCTCTCAGGTCCAGGTTCTAAAGCACGGTTAGATTTTATGTACACCTGAGATCCACAAGAGACCTGCAGAAGATCTGGAGAACGTCTGATCCAGAACCACTTAAACTAGTACAGGAAAGTCTGTTGACGAGGACCCAGTTAGAAGTTTTGATCTGGATTAGGAGGGCTAAGCAGGGGCGGTTTTACCATTAGGCACAGGCCGGAGGCCGCCTGGGGCCCCCTAGCCCTGACTGATGGCACCCCTCTGTTAATGCCACAATGGACTATTCCTTTAAGATGCCAATGCACAAACAGGAAGTGATTGGTAGTCATTCCCCTCCAATCCAGTTGGTGGCAGTAATGCACCAAATTGTTGTTTGCCAAGTGCCATAAGACCACAAATAAGAAGAAGAGAAAGCAGAAAAAGAAGAAGAGAGGCGGGAGCGTTTGTAACAAACTCGAAGCGATAGTCAAAACATGAAGCATGAAATGGAGTTATCCTAGTGGCTCCAATAAGAGAAGAAGCAGCTTGCTTTAAAAAAGCTTTTATCTTCACTTCCGAAAGTGACGTCGTTTTAAAATGTAAACATCAAAAGGAAGCAGAAAATGAAAGACAATGGAAAATGTTTAAAGAGAGGAAAACAGACCAAAGTAGAAAATAAAAGAAAAAAAAGAAAGGCAAAAGCAGAGGAGCACTGACAGGAAGAACAAAGCAGAGCAAATATTGAAGGCACTCAAAGGGAGAGAGAGAGACAGGAAATAAGAGGAGGACTAATAAAAAGTGAGAATAACTCATGTCAGAAGAAAGTGGAGTTTCGCAAATCCAGTTAAAGATAAGATTGTCCAAAGTTTTGTGAAAGGGGGCCCCATGTCTGTGTTTGCGTTGGGCACCCAAATTGCTAAATCCGCCACTGGGTCTAAGAACCCTCAGCTTACCGATGTAGTCCTTCATGACGTGAGGGTAGTCCCCGCTGAAGAGGGGAGCAGCGAACCAGCCCAGGTAGAACTGAATGTACCGGTCCGCCGCCTCAATGTCTTTCTGGCTGGAAATGTCCACTGGTTCTCCCCAGTCGGCAGTTAGAGAGATCCCAATCTGACCTGATGACAGAACCCAGACCCGTTTATCCTCTGAAATGAGCACAGAGCAGAACCTGAAGATCAGGTCTCACCTTTCTGTTTACTTCTCCACTTCAGGTCATACGTGTGCCAGACTTTAGCGTGAGCCTGTGAAGAACCAACAGGATGGTGTTAGCATGTTCCACTCTGATTCTCCTCTCTGGAGTCGGATCCTGGAGCTGCTTTTAGGAATTCTGACGTCTCGTCTCGGACCAGACTGAAGAACCGGGCCCTGGACCATTCCGTCTTACCTTGATGATGTGATGAGCTGCTCTGTAAGCTCCAGATCCTCTCAGCTTCAATCCGGGAGCATGTTCTCCTGTTTCATACCCCTCCACAGCTATGGACTGATTAAACAACACACTGATCTACCCAACAGGTCAAAAGTTACAGCAGCAAACAGGAAGTTGGTACCTAACATACCCATGGGTTGTTGAAGGTGATCCAGTACTTCACTCTGTTTCCAAACCTCTCAAAACACAAGTTGGCAAAGTCGTTGAAGGAGTTGATGATGCTGGCATTCTGCCAGCCGCCATGTTTCTCCTGCAGCACCTGCGGGAAGCCTGTTTCAGCGAGGAACCGACACCAGAACCGCTAACCTGCAGGGTCAGAACTCACCTGCGGTAAATCCCAGTGATACAGAGTGACAACAGGTGTGATTTTGTTGTCCAGCAGCTGGTTGATCAGGTCGTTGTAATACTGGATCCCCTTCTCGTTGATGTGCTCACCTGAGAGTTTATTACATCATTAATAAAACCACCGGTGAGAATTTTAATGTTTAGTTTTATTAATGACTGTGGCCTGTTTGAGCTAACCAGCTTACATTAAAACAGAGAAGTTACCCAATCGAGCTGTCATTTATGAACATGCATCAATCAATCAATCAATCAATCAATCGATCAATCATCACAGGCTTTGGAGAAGAGTCAATCGTGATTTAGCATCATATTCACTAGAAAACCTCTGTTACAGATATGGATTGTTTAACATTTTATTTATTGTTTAGAGATATTTGTGTTGTTGAATCAGCATCAGTTATTCTCATGCCTGGGGTTCCACAGGGTTCTGTTCTTGGTCCTATTTATTTGTATTTTATGGGCGACAGTGGCACAGGAGTTAAGTGCTCGTCCCATAATCGGAAGGTTGCAGGTTCGAGCCCCGCTCAGTCTGTCGCTGTCATTGTGTCCTTGGGCGAGACACTTAACCCACGTTGCCTGCTGGTGGTGGTCGGAGGGACCGGTGGCGCCAGTGCTTGGCAGCCTCGCCTCTGTCAGTGCGCCCCAGGGAAGCTGTGGCTACATTGTAGCTCATCACCATCAGTGTGTGAATGTGTGTGTGAATGGGTGAATGACTGATTGGTTGTAAAGCGCCTTGGGGGGGTTCCAGGACTCTAGAAGGCGCTATATCAAATACAGGCCATTTACCACTTGTATTTCATTTGATGCTTTCATACCTTTTTATGTAACATTTTAGTAAAGTCTCTGCTGATGATCTTAAGTTTTTACCTTTTAACTTCAAAGGTACAAGCATTTAGTTCCCTCGTCTGCTCTTGATTGTTTATTAACACATTTTTGTTTTTATTTGAAGGTTTCAATTAGTTTAATGTGGCACATCTTATGATCTTGAAAAGTGTTTTTCATAGAAAATATTTGCTTACATAAAAAATGTTTTTTAAGGAGCAAAAACTGTCAGGAAAGTGTCAGAAAGGTAGAATCGGGTGTCAGGACCAGATATGAAAGGAGGTTTTACCAAAAATGGGTTTCAAGGCTTGCTCTAGAGGTCAGGTCCAGTCTCAAGGTCCAGTTTGCTGGTAAATGGAGCTCTTGGGGAGGACTTCACCTGGGTTCAGTCACCTCAGGGGTCATAGGTCATCCAACAGTGAAGGCCTGACCTCTACAGGAGCTACAAGTTAGGCAGAACCTAACTCAGAACTGGACCTTTAGTTGTTTGTTTTTATCCAGAACCAGTTCTGGTACCGCCTCCTGCTGATGAACAAACATCCAAAACATTCTGTTGTTGCTTCTAACTCTAGGTTTGTTCAGGAATTCATTGAATTCTGTTTTGATTTTTATGAAATAAATATTCAAGCTAAGTGATAATAAATTATAATAGATAATAAGGTCTCCTCCCATCTGACTGCCGTTTGTTTTTTTTAAAGTATTTTGATGTAAAAACGTGTTTCTATACCTCTTACAGTAAAATATCTGAACTAAAATATAAAAGTTTTTACTTTTTATGCCGGTGGGTAAAATCCTGGGCCAGGAGATGGAGAAGCGGTAATGATTCAGCTTCATGTCTTTCATCAAAGTCACGTCATCCTGCAAAACGGCAAAAACATCGTGATAAATATTCTGGTTCTGAACAGAAACACACATGGTCCGGGACAGAAACTCCAAACAAATGAGTTTTTATTTTCCACTGAGTTAAATCAGCCTCGCTTTCAGAGAAAAGAAACACTCAGATGGAATTCTGATGGTTTTGTTTGCGAAGGTGGTGAAAAACAAAATCATTTCACTATTTATTACACGATTTAAAATCTAAAACCAAAGTGAAACATTTCAAACCCATCAATTGTTTTAGCTTCAGATTTTTAAACTTTAAGGGGGAATTTTAGATTCACCTTGACTTTATAGTATCCATCACACGACGAGTCTCCTGTTTCATTGGAGGGGATTTTTCCTGTTTTATGAGCGAATGCATCCCAGATGCTCATTCCTTTCCCATCGACGTTCCAGGCTCCTTCAGTCTGATAGGCTGAGCTGCCGACGCCCCACGAGAACCCTGCAGAGCAACACAAACCGGAGCTCGACAACTTCATCGCACCTGTGTCACGGTCTGGGTTGTTTCTGGACATCACTCGCTGGTTTTGAGTTTCCCTCTGCAGGTGGGCGTGTCCGGAGGTGGCCAAGCTGCAGACTCCTCATCAACCAGCCAGGGAGTATTTAAGCAGCTGAAAGACACCTTCACTTTGCTGGATGATTACTCGACCTGGGTACCTTCTAGCCACTTGTGTCTTATTCAAGCCCTTTAACCTTTGAGAATTAGATGTTTTTGGATATTGGAATTTTTGCCCTTTGACCTCCTGCTCTTGTCACCAGACAAACCTTCACCCTCATCTTTGACTGGCAGAAATCTGGAGCCCACACCATCTGGAACTCCAACCCCGTTCACCTCTCAGCCTCTCCCTGGCCAGAGCCACCTCCGGTAACCCACCTATACTCTCCTGGATCTACAAACTCAGCTCCCTCCACGTCTCTATCTCTCTGGATCTCAACATCAGGATAACCCCGTCAACCCAGATCGGACCACTCCCCCCTCGAGCCATGATCTCCCTCTCCAGACTGTGAGTCCTCCACGTCATTCAGATTCCCTGTGCCTCCCCCCTCGAGTTGGTTCCAACTCCTGTCTGTCTGCAGATCTCCCGCACCGGATTCCCGTTGAAGATATCAGCTACGTTTTATGTCGCTCCCTTGGTTCTCCTTTTAATAAATTATTATTTAACAACCTTTACCAACGACTCGGTACTGATTCTGTATGTCGTGGGTTAGACATTTACCCCACATCATGACAACCTGATTCATGGAGAAACTCCAGAGATGTAATCAATTTAAATATCCATCCATCCATCCACTTTCCTCCGCTTATCCGGGGTCGGGTTGCGAGGTCAGTAGCCCAAGCCCAGACTATCCTACTCTCCAGCCACTTGGACCAGCTCCTCTGGGGGAATGCCAAGGTGTTCCCTGGCCAGATGAGAAACATATTCCCTCCAGTGTGTCCTGTGTCTTCATTTAGGTCTCCTCCTGATTGGATGTGCTCGGAAAACCTCCCCAGGGAGGCGTCCAGGAGGCGTCCTAACCAGATGGCCTAGCCACCTTACCTGGCTCCTCGCGATGTGGAGGAGCAGCTGGTATGCTCTGAGCTCCTTCCAGATGATCGAGCTTCTCGCCCTATCTCTAAGGTGGAGCCCAGCCACCCTGCTGAAAAAAACTGATTTTGGTCGCTTGTATCTGATCTTTCAGTCATTACTCAAAGCTCGACCATGGGTGAGGGTAGGAACGTAGAACGTCTAGAAATCCTGTCCACATAAGTTATGAGCAGAATTGGTGACAAAGAGCAACACTGGTGGAGTCCAACTCTCACAGGAAACGAGCTCGACTCACTGCCGGCAATGCAGACCAAGCTCTGACACCGGTCATACAGGGACTTGTACCATACTACAGAAGTACCCCCCCCCCCACAGGTCCTCCTGAGGGACGTGGTCAAGCGCCTTCTCCACGTCCACAAAATACACACAGATTTGTTTTGTGAACATCCACGCACCCTCCAAAACCCCCCAGTGTTTCACAGCCAGGACGAAAACCACATTGTTCCTCCTGGATCTGAAGTTCAACTATCCAACAGACCCTTCTCTCCAGAATCCCTGGATAGATTTAACCTGGGCTCAGGAGTGTGATCCCCTTGCAGTTGGAACCCATCAGCTGCCTCTGGAGACCCACAGGCCAAAATGACCTGATAGGACTCCTCCTTCAGCTTGGCAGCATCCCTAACCAGCTGGTTCGGGGGACGCTGCCACTACAGGCACAGATGACCCTGCAGCCGCAGCTGTGGTCGCCCGCCTCGATAATAGCCCCCTCTCTCTCCCTGGAACGCTTTGAAGTCCTGTCATAGGTGGTAATTGAAGCTGTCATCACTTAATGGTGTAAATAGTGTAGGGTGTGGTTTTTGAAAATGTCGGTGAAGACAGCAGCAGGAAGAGAGTGTGGGTCTGTTTCTAAGCGACCTGATCCCAGGTGTGCTGAATCCCCTGACAAGTGAACCGGGCTTGAACTAGTAGGAGCTCTGCTAAACTGGCAAAAACAACCTCAGTCTCCACTTTTGCCATCCTTTCAACACTCATAACTCACTGTTGACATCCACCATGGCGGACACACGTGATCTGGTGACGTGGTTGCAAAGGGTCAACAGAGCTCCAAAGGGGGCGGGGCTACATCACCAGTTCCACCTAAATCTTACTAACATCTCTGACCGGTGGACTCTAATCATAACCTGAAGATCACAGATGGTTAAAATCGACCTCCTAGTAAAAATCAAGTCAGATCAACAGATCATGAACCAGTTGGAACAGGTCAGATTTCAGATCCTGACGACATAAACCAGAGTCAGAACCCAGGAAAGTTTGAGGAGCAAAGATGTTAAGAAGATCTCCAATCTGTCAACGAAAAAAACCTTTAAAATGCTTTGGACCCTGTTGGGTTAAACGGGCCGGGTACCTGCTGGGAAGGTGCTGTAGTAGAACGGTGTTCTCTCATTCTTGGTCCAGTCAAAGTCTCCCTCAGATGACACACACTGCATGAAAACCAGCAGGTGGAACAACTTCAGGGTTCCTCGCTTCAGCATTCTGAAGTTCTTTATTCTCACCTGTGATGCAGGTAATCAGGGCGACAGAGTCAGACCTGCTGCATCCGTCTCCAGGAGAAAAGAGAAGTCCTGGAGCTTCTGGGCCAGGCCAGTCAGCTCAGCAGCTGCTGCAGCAGAAACCGAATAGAGTGAAGCATCCAGGGCACGTTCAGTCATTCATGAGAGCGCGCGCGCGCGCACACACACACACACACACACATGCACACACCGATGAGCAGTGACAGTAAATCTGCTGAGTAAACAGGATTCTCTCTGTGTCGGTTCTGTTTCATCCTGGTTTCATCCAGTCTGAACTAGTATCTTTAAATAGCCATTAATTTGTCACATCACAAGTTTAATGAACTTGTTGAACAGAAGAACGTTTTCATGAACAGTCGGCGTCTTCCCTGCTGCAGATAACAGCCTCGTGTTGCTTTAAAGCCCGCGTGTTTGTTGGCTTCCATGTTTATTTCTGTAGGATTATTACCACAGCCGGAGTTCTGAATGTAAACTGAAATGTTTAGAGACCTGAGAGGGAAGTTGAGTCTGCACGTAATTATAATTCTGAGCAAGGGAGAAACTGGTTCCTGTGCTTCAGCCAATCAGAAAGCTGCTTTCTGACTCACTTATTCTGAAACATACCAAAGTGCTGCTCCTGGTCATTTAAATCTGAAATCATCTCTTCGGGCCATCGAGGGTAACCCCCCCACCACACACTCACCGACATGTTTCCAGATCATTGCTGAAGGGAAAATGCTGAAATGTTCAAAGCTAAACTGTTGGCACTGCACTCTGGTCGTTGTCTGTCTGCATTCACTCAGTGTGTGTTTGTTTTGTGCACTTTGACAGCAGAGTGAAACCGGGGACGTCACGGGTTTGTGTTTAGCATATGAAAGGCCTGGAGGGCCCCGGCGGCTGCTGTAGAACCCCTCTGAGAGTTCTGGCAGCGGTCTGCTGCCTCCACCCCACATATTTAAGGGCCCTTTTTGTGGCTCCGCAGAGCTGACATGAACATCTTCACTAAGGCTCCAGGACTAGCCCAACAAACCAGGTATGTTCAGAACACCGCGCTCCAAACGGGCCTTACCCAGAGCCCGATGTGAAGGGAGCAGGGGCCCCTGGAAACACAAACAAAACATTTAACCCAAAAAAGGCCCAAATATTTATAATTATTTAATATTTAACCTGTTTCTATGTGCAGCAAGCTGGGGTCCGTGCTCCAACGTGCCTTCTATGGGTCCAGTGGGAGGGTGAGTCCAGCGTAATCGGGTCGGGGGGGTTTAGCTGGCAGCAGCTCTGACATCTATCTGTAAAAATGCTTGTTTTGATGTCTGAGGTCTGAATGATCCCAGCCTTCTGAAGGAGATTAAAAACATATAGAAAAGTTCAGGATGGTAAAACCAGAACCCCTGGTCCAGCCATGTTGTTTGACCTTTGATCGCTGTGATTGTCCCTTCGTCTCCACCCCCAGGTGACCCTTTTTGAGCAGCGAAACTTCACTGGGAGACGACTGGACCTGAACTCCGACTGTCCCAGGATCAGTGACAAGAACTTCCCAGAGAGATGTAACTCTGTACAGGTGGAAAGCGGAGCGTAAGTCCACCTTAAAAGTCCATTTATATCAGGATCCGTGATCTTCTAAGGACCAGGACCAGGAATGGTGTCATGTGGAGCTTGGATCCTGCTGGTCTGCTCCAAAACACCTGGTTTAAGTTAAAGGGTGATTCTGTATAACCTGAGGAGCCTACATAGGTAGAATCAGGTGTGTTGGACAAGAGGAACCACTCAGGTCCCCCAGGAGTAGAACTGGCCACTAAAGCTGTAACAGGACCAGAACTGGGAGAAACCTTCACTTGACCTAGTTTGGTTTTTGAGGTGAAAATGAACTTCTGTTTGTTCTTGATGTCTCCTGAAGATGGGTCGGGTTCGAGAATGAGAACTACCGGGGCCGCCAGTACCTGTGGGACATGTCGGACCGGGGCGAGTACAGTTGCTACGACAAGTGGTGCGCCCAAGTCGACCGCATCTCCTCCGTCCGCTCCGTGAAACAGGTGAGACCCATTACGGAGCCGGCATAGGCTGAAATCAGAACCACCAGAAACCTGATCCAGAGTCAGAACAGCTTCTACACAAAGTCATAGGAATGCCACATCTGGGTTTGTGTTTCTGGTTTTCAGGACAATAACACTCCCAGAGCTCAGCTGTTTGAGCGAGCCGGTTTCTCTGGGAAGAAGATGGAGATCCAGGACGACATTCCCAACTTGCTGGGTCGCTACAACCTGAACAGAGTGGCCTCCATCCGCGTCCTGGGAGGAGCGTGAGTCTTAGTGTTCAGCAGGAACTATTTCTGTTCCTTCCAAAACTAAAATGTCAGAAATTAAAACAAACCCTGCGAAACATGAGTTCTGCAGCTGTTTTCCGTGATCAGCTGAACATTGATGTAGCTTCATGTCTCTGAGGCTCTAAACTCAGTTCGACACCAACTCAACTAAAATCTAACATTTATACAAAGGAAATGTGATCCAACATAACCTAATTGGTTTTGTTCCATCACTGAGACAGGAGGGAACATCTTAAATTTACCAGAATTATGCAGCTAAAAGATGAAGGTTCTAAAAAACCAAAAACAATGCAGGACAGAACCTGCACTGTGCATAAACTTAATCAAAGAACCAAACACCCTAGAAACAACTGATTTATTCATGCAGCTTTTTGATAAAATACAGCTTCATCAGCATAGAAACAATGTGGTTTAGTGTTACTAACACAGAGCCCTGTGGCACTCCATCAACATTAGCTTGTGTCTAATAAGTGAAAATTTTAATCAGAAGCAGCTGGAGACTGGAGAGAATTCCTCACTGGACCATGATGTTCTGTTTCAGATGGGTGGTCTATCAGGAACCCAACTACAGAGGACCTCATTACGTTCTGGAGAAACGAGACTACAACAACTTCTCCGACTGGAACAGCCAGAGCATCACCGTGGGCTCTATGCGTCGAGTCCGCTTCAACTGAACCAGAACCAACCCAAACCAAACACTCAAAGAACCTGTCAGCTTGATACACAATAAAGACTATTTTAGTAATGAAAACATTTTGTCATTGTTTTATTGTGGCTTACAGAGCGGGTTCACTGAGAAACAGTTTTTTTTTTAATGGAAAAATGATCGGTCACTCTGAGTTTAACAGAAAACAGACATAAAAGCACTCGGTTAAAAAAATCCTGACAGATGCGTCACACTGTCACTAAACATTCATGAACTCACTCATCTGGCTCGCCACAGGGAAGGCAGTTATTGGTTTCAGCATTCAGGAGCCAATAATAGAAGCTGACCACGTCTATGTAGTAGAAGCTAACCGTTAGCATTAGCTGTTCCATAAAATAGAACGCCTTCAGGCTTGTGTTGTTTGTGGAGATAAAACATCCATGTCACAGAGTCAGTGTTGGAGTCGTGTTACTGTTAGCCTACGGGCAGGGGCGCAGATAGGATTTTCAATCTGGGGGTGGACAAAGTTCCAATGTACCCTCCCCCAAACACACACACACACACACATATGTCAGAGAAGCAGCAGCAGGCTTCCTAGAAGAGGACTGCTCTTTACGTCCTTCACCAGAGGGAAGGAAGGGTAGGATTTCTGGAGCCGTATCGTTTCATGTCCGCTTGTGTGAGGCCGAGCCAGCTGGGCATGGTCGAAACTTAGCTGCAGTGCTGTGCAGATCAGCCACGTCAGAAGTCGTAAAGTAGAAACTAGCAACTTAGCCAACAGCAAAGACCAACTCAAATTCAAATGTTGTGCAGACTTAAGCTGAAGAGGGTGCTGCACTAAACAGTTTTAGGGAGACTATTAAATAAATATCAAAATAATGACTGCCTGTGTCAAAAGCACTATTAGACATTTGTTTACACTTTATCAGCTAAATAAAGGTTGGTTTGGGGGTGACTTACTCTTTAAAGTTTCTCCACTGGATTAAAAAAACTTCCTTGAGTTTTTAAAGAGCAAGTCACCCCCAAATAAACTTTTTTTTGCTGATAAACTAAATAAACGAGTGTCTAATCGTGCTGCAGACACGTGCAGTCAATAGTTTTGCACTTTAGTGCATTTTAGTTCAAATTTAAATTTTCTGCCTAAAACTGTCAGTGTTGTGCCGTTGTCAGGTAAAAACTCTGCACTGCATTTGAATTTAAATCTGCCAAATCACTACTGGCTAAGAGGTACCCTAGAATGTTAGCTGGTACCATATGATGTCACAATGTCGCTGAGCCTGTGTGCATGTATTTGTTAGTGGCTCCGCCCTCTCTGTCTGCTAGGCAACAGCATTTGTTGCATTTTTCAAACTGGAAGTGGGAGTTGAGAAAGAATCTGGTAGGGGGTGACTTGCTCTTTAAAGAGCAAGTCACCCCCTACCAGAGTCTAACTCCACTCCCACTTCCAGTTTGAAAAATGCAACAAATGCTGTTGCCTAGCAGACAGAGAGGGCGGAGCCGCTAACAAATACACACACACTCAGGCTCACGACAGCATTGTGACATCATAATGTACCAGTTTACATCATGGCATACTTCTTAGCCAATAGCGGTGGCAGATTTAAATTAAAATACAGTGCAGAGTTTTTACCTGACAACGGCACAACACTGACAGTTTTAGGCAGAATATTTAAATTTTAACTAAGATGCACTGAAGTGCCAAATTATTGACTACACGTGTCTGCAGCACGATTAGACACTCGTTTATTTAGTTTATCAGCAAAAAAAAAAAAAGTTTATTTGGGGGTGACTTGCTCTTTAAATAGATGAATTAAAAACTTGGTCTGTTGTTGTGAGCATGAATTAGCACTTTCCAATGGTGAATTCATGGAACCTGAAAAATGATGGAAATATGTTGTTGCTCCGGCCTCCATCCGATAGGGACCAGAGCCACTGCGGTTCAGAATCAATCGCACCAGGCCACTTGTGTTGTAATTAAGCACCTTGGGTGGTAGAAGGCACTACATCTCCCTCCAGCGTTTACACCTTTAGCTGGTTTACAGTTAAGACACATTTACTCATAAATCATCAGCTGCAACTAAAAACCCACTCAGGCAACAAGAGTCACAAAGAAACTTTATATAGTTCTCAAGTATTCAAAACTGTTAAATAAGTACAAGATGTGTTCACATGATTTACATACTGGACAATATACGCACTGCCCCTTTTAATTCTCTTTACATGTCTCCTGCTACCCACGCAACACGCTAACACGTCTGCAACCCATTCCCACTGGTTTCTGTACATCTGAGTTCACTGGAAGTTGTGACAGCAGTCTATTGGACACGAGCACAGACGGACACCTGGAAGAGGTTACAGTGTGTGATGGAGACGTCTGAGTGGCCGACAGAGGAAAGGGGCGGGGTCACAACGCTGATTAGCTGCTGGTGATGTGGACAGTAACATAGGAAACGGGGTTAACATTCAGTTGATCCCTCGGTCTGTCCGTTCCTACATGACAGAACAGAAAAGCAGACAAATATGGGGGGCGCTGAGAGGGACAATGGCTCGCTGTTGGTCCACGCAGCTGTCAGTCAGGGGACAACGGAAATGTACAACAGTGCAACATCTGTGTGTGTGAGAGCAAGATGGACTTCCCGCTCAGGAGATGAAGAAACATTTTATAAAAAATATTTTTCTAAAAGTTTTCTGGTTCAAATTCAACAAATTTTTGTAAACAAACCAAAAACAAAGATTCCTTTTAACACCTGGAGATGAGCTCCTCCTCCACTCACACGTCTAATCTCCATCATCTAACTCTTCTAGACGTGACTTTGTGTTGGGTTAGTCAGCTCCGCCATCACCCCCCCCCCCCCCCCCCCCAGCAACATGAACTCAAATTAGCACCACAGAAGAAGAGAGAACACAATTGTACACACAGACTGTAGTGTCAGTGAACGCCACTTCATTTGCTTTAAAGCAAAAATCCTGATGAATGAGTTATTGTGAGCAGGTTAAGGAAGTCTTCCTGATTACCAGTAATGAGTGCCATGATGTCATCACAGAGCAGGAAATGGCTCCACTAAGCCCCGCCCCATATCTGACCATCAATGTCAAACATTGCAGTTCACATTTCTACTTGTGTGTTTAATGTAAATGCGATGACACACTCAGCTGATGTTCTGACCCATACATCGTCTCTGCATTCAGACGTGGGCTGAACTTTAATCCAGTCTAAACATCCTTAAGTTTATTTTAATGACAATGAAAAAGAAAACAAAACATAATTTTATCCCATTTCAAAGGTTATTTTAGATCATGTACCCATCTATGCTCTAAATACCAACTAAAATGGACCCATCTGGTTCTGCAGACCCAGATTGTTCTGGCTTCAGTCTGACAAAATCAATGAACTCCGTCCACATCTAAACCAGATCAAATAAACTCAGCTTGTTTAATCGTGAACAGCCAATCAGAGGCCGGTCTCAACAACCACGCCCACATAAAAACGGGTCTGACAGAAACAACCAGACAGTAAAAAGGTTCAGAAAACAAAACCACCTTTAAATAAAGAAGTCTCTCTATAAGAAATCAGAAGAGCTTTAACTTCTGGAAGAGAAAACAAACATGGAAGCTGTTGTTGCTGGCGTGATGCCTTCAAAAGAAAACAAAAAAAAAAACAAACAGATGTTTGAGTTACAGATCAGCTGATTGCAAATCAAGTAAACCATGCCACTGATTGGCTGATTATTTTGGTGCACGTCTTAATATCTGCATTTTAAGTGTTTAGTTCTTGATTTTAGCAGCAGAAGAAACAAAGGTGTTGAGGAGTAAAAGAATGATGGTTCTGATGTCAACGGACAACTGGTGATTATTATTAAAAGCTGTGACTTTAAAAGAGACCTGAACTCTACTGGTGGGTCTGGGTCTGGACCCATCTCCAGTTCTGGATTTGGATCTAGGTTTGGTTCTGTGATGAGAACATGGCAGCAGCAGGACAGACTGGTGGTCACACATGATGAGACAAAAACAAACAATAAAACCTGCCTGTGAGACAGAGGGGACGATCACCAAACTGTACACTTTCTACACGTCCATGATGGACAGAACAAGTGCATCATTTAAACAAGAAGATCAACCTAAAACAAACTCTGTTTCACTCCGGATTACTGAAACGCAGCCCGGTTCTGCAGCCGGGGGCGGCCCGGTTCTGCAGCCGGGGCGGGCTGAGGGAGGACACTGATTAATGGGATTTCTATGATTAGAACTAAAAGGATTAAAGTGAAAAGCAGAGGTTTGTTTAAGGTCAACAGCACCCTCATTTAGATTGATTTTTCAGCATTTTAGTTGTTTTTTTTTAATTACATAATCAGAACAGTCGCTTAGCGGCCCGTTTTATTTACACGGATGTCCGATGCTCACGCGTTCAGCCTCAGAGACTGGTCTTCTCTCCTCCTGGAGGAGATATCGATGTCTATGGAGTCTTTACCCACGATGAGTCGCAGCCGTTTTGCTGGAGGAAGTGGAATGAAATCGTCCTCAAACTCATTGTGGAAGTAGTCGTCGTCATCTTCGTCAACATCGTTCTCCTCCTCCTCCTCTCCTTCCTCCTCATCTTCATCAGAAGATGTTTCTGCCAGGACCTTCTGGGTCCGATGTCCACCGTTCCTACTCTCTAGGCTCTGAGCCATGTCTCTATTGTAAGACATGGTCTCCATCTTGCTCTGGGCTATTCTGCGAGCGTCGTCCTCCCTCTTTAGCTGGATCTTCAGCTTGGTGGCGTTGCTGTGGACCACTGGCGCAAAGCCGTTATTCAGCTTGGCGATGTAGGAGCTACCCTTGTCCTTGTCGTGGTCTTTGCTGAACTTGATGCTGATTTTACTGGAAGAGGCAGAGTTGACGGTGGAAGAGCCGACGTGCTCGCTGGGGTCGTTGGTCTTGCTACTGCTGCTGTCCCTCCGCCGGCGGAGTGTCAGCTTTGGGATGCCCGTGTTGTTTTCCAGGATCAGCTGAGCATCATACCGCGTGATGCGACGCTTCTTCTTCGCCTTGTCCTGTGAGCGGCAGCTGCTCTTGCCCTTGTCCCTGCGGAGCGCCTTGCTGCTGTTGGCGGTGCCGTTTAAGTCTCTGTGTCTGTCGGCGAAGCTCAGCAACACGTTGCCACAGTCTGAGAAGTTGGAGGCACGGCTTGCAGCCACCGGTGAGAACGGCTCACAGTTTGAGCCCGCACATTTAATCGTCCGCTCTGTCCGAAGCCAAGCTGGCCGTTTCCGGCTGGTGCGTGCACTTTTTCTGGTGTAGCTGGCATCAAACACCGGCTGCTGCAGTCCAGATCCTTGGTGGAGGTACTCGTCCATGTCAGCAGGCTCGGTTTTGATGACCACTCCGCCAGGAACTGGGCTCAAACCGTCCATGGCACTGGGCTCTAGTTTGACCCCAGTGGCCAGCTCCTGGGCCTTCACGAGGGTCCGAGTGGACCTGCGAGTCCTGTAAGCGGAACACTGGCTGCCCTCGCTGCTCTCCACGGCTGGAAGACTACCATTTTCCTTGGCGGCGTGCCGGGTCAGGCAGCCTTTCTGGCCCAGAACCACTAGGTCCGATCCATCTTCCTCCTTGACAGCAATGCCTTTACACAGAGACACCTTCGAGTCCCTGAGGCCCACCTGGACAGCCTCGGATTTGGCTGATGCTTTAGGCTCCGCCCCCCTCCTACGACTCCGCAGCCGGACACTGCTGAGCGACGGCTTGGACCTTAGTCTCTTTGGTACCCTGTTATTGTTTACACGACCTTGTTTGGAACATGAGGTAGAGAGGGCTCGGGACAACATCTGTCTGCTCTGAGTCCTGTTTTTATACTTCAGGCCAGATGACGACGATCTGTTTCTGGCAGCTGCAGACAAACAGAGACACATATTTATAAATGAGAGACACCATCCCACCAGTCCAGGACCTGAAGCTCCAGCAGACTCTTACATTGATGTGTTTTTGGATTTTCCTGAGAGTCCACGTCGGTGTGGGAGCCCACAGAGTGACTGTCTGAGCTTGGATTTCCTTCTCCCAGCTTCTTCAGCCTGTTCAGACGCTTGTCAGTTTCCCGCAGCCCGTACTTGCTGTTGATCACCGGGACCTCCGCCGGAAGCCCAGCTTTGGATTTGAACGCTCCAGTTCCTCGTCTGCAATAAAAACACCAGTAAAACCCTGACCACCTCAGCTGATCAGCATCAACCTATCAGCCGGAGTAAAGTGCGATGTGTTTGTGACTGAATAAATATAAATCCATCGTTTCCCAACATCAGATGTGAGTTTTAGACTCTGGAGTGAAGCGCGGAGGCTGGTATGGAATCCTGTCATTCCTGGCTCCAGCTGGAAAACTCCTCTCTGCTCCAGTGAAAACACTGCAGGGGTGTGGTTCTCCTCCTTGTGTCTTAATTATATTATTATTATTATTAATGTGGGAGTGCAAGTCTGTGTTTTAATTTGTCTCTGGGGCAGCAGAAGCTCAGGTCGGCCAGTTATCGGAAAGTTGCAGGTTGGATCCCGGCTCTGACCAGAGAATGCTGCTGTTGTGTCCTTGGGCAAGACACTTGACCCGCCTTGCTTGTTGGTGGTGGTCAGAGTGACCGGTGGTGCCTGAGTTGTCAGTGCACCTCTAGGCAGAGTTGGCTACATGGTAGCTCATCCCCAACAGTGTGTGAATGACTGATGGTGTTGTAAAGTGCCTTGGGGGGTTGCAGAACCCTTAGAAGGCGCTATACAAATACAGGCCATTTACCTTTTCTGTAAACAAGCACTTTCCCTTCGGCTTATGCAAGTAGAGCCGACTGGAGTCGGTTCGAATCGGAACTCCTGAGCCGTGTTCACACAAGGAAACCAGGAAAGTCGCACCTCCTTGACTTTTCACGATCAACCAACTGATTTTGACCTTTTTGATCCAATATGTGAACAGAATCAGCTCTTGTTGTTGTTTATCCAGTTAATCCATAAAGATCCTAATTTAATCCAGACTCACGTTTTTGAGCTCACCTTTCACACGTATAACATTCACAAAACTCATTGTTTTCTCCAAAGAACCCGTCTCCATAGTAACATGAAATTTCCTCTCCTGGTTCCGTGTCCCTCAGAACCTTCACGCAGGCCGTGTCCCGCCCCGTCGACACAAACTGGAAACACGTAAACCCGTTGGTTACAGCGCGGTTCTGTGTTTACACGCTGCTACCCGACAAACGTGTCGAGGAACCTACCTTGCAGTTTGGTCGACAATCTGAAAGCAACAGAACGAGTTCATTTAGATAAAAATGATATTAACAATTCCACTTCTTCTAAGATCGAGTGTGAAGACAGATACCATGATTGATGAAGGCTGCGGGCCCGAGCCACAGCTGAGCACAGTTCTTGCGCGTGGAGTACATGACGCTGAAATCGTTCTCGCCGTGTCTGAGGAGCATGTTCTCCTCGCTCTCGGACAGCTCAGCGATGCAGCCCACCAGATACTCGATCTTATCGTTTCTTTTCCTAAAACATCAGAGGTGAGACGCTTCACAAACGAACATTCATCCAGAAATATTCAACTGAAGAGCTGAAATGTATCTGAAGCAGAAACCTAAAGACCTCATGACTTTAGATACATGAAAGTCTGGCGGTTGGGACGGAAATCAAGAGTTGATCAGGGATTTTGGACCAGACCAGGAGTTCTGAACTGGATCGGGGGTTCTGGACCAGATCATAGGTTATAAAAGGTGCAGGAGGGTCTCACCATTCCTTTGTGGCCACTATTTTGGCTCCATTCTGCTCCGAGGAATAGCGATTACAGGGCAGAATCTCGAAGCCGCTGTCAGCAGCAAACATTCGCAGATAAACAAACACCTGTACAAAACACAACGTCAGCGCTGATCTCTCACACAGACCAGCAGGAAGAACCAACAGTGTTTACATGCTGCTTGAAGAGCTTTTCTTGAGCCTTGGACTTGTGAAGAAAAACATTCCTGCACCAGTCTCCAGACATCAGAGCTTTGTAAGCTTTCTCCAGGTTGTCGTGCTTTTTGAAGCGCTCGATGATCTCCTTCAGCTCCTCTTGTCTTCCCTTGATTGGTCGAAACCTGCCAGCAAACATTCAGCAACACAAAAAACAAACTGAGGTCAAGTCTGACTGACATCTAGAGAACCCCACATGGGCCTGCTGCTGTGGTGAGCTGACCTGGTGTTCATTTTGTGAGTCTGAAAGCCCAGATACGGATCCAGAATGAGACTGGTGGTCAGATCGTCGTTCTCACACAGCTCCTTAGCAGTCATTCCTGAGGAGGGCACGTAACGCCGCTCCGCCTCCAGACTAGCAGCATTACACCCTGAAACAACCACACACAGACAGGTGTTAGGAGGTGGCTGGATCTCTGTGTCGGTTTGCAGCACCAGCACGGACTCACGGCGGCTACATCTTCGGTTTCTTGGGTGGCTTCTGTTCTGGCGCTGAGACGCTCGCTGGGGGTGCTGAGAGCGAGTCTGACTCACAGGCTGCTCGCTGGTCAACTTGCTTCCGTGTCGTCTGCCATTTACTACCATGTTCTTGGATTCGCCCAGCCACTTCATGCCCACAAGCCCCCTGCTTCAGTCGCATTTAGTCTCTGAGATGACGCAATGCTCTTGAGCAGGGAAGACTGGGGTCTGGAGTTTGAAACCTGGAGGCAAACCAGAAAAACCACAGATTACAGACATCCAGAGGGCAGATTTGATGCTTGTCGTTAGTCAAAATGAATTAGTTTACATAAACATAGTTTCTGGCTGTTGGTACGAATGTGACAACGAGCGTAATAGGGCCCCAGAACCGGACCAGCCCCAGCCCTGAGACTCCCCTGGAGCTCCAGTAATTTTTCCTAAAAAGTAAAAAAAAAAAAAAAAAAACAGAGAAAAACACAGGCCATCTGCTATTTTGAGCTAAACTCAGAATTTTGCTGAAGGTTTTCAGAAAAGTATGACTTTAGATTTCAGGCTTTAATGAAGTGGCCCTACAGTGCCCCCCCGTGGTAACTCAGAACACAGCAGCCTGTAAAGTTCTGCTGCGGTTCTGAATCCATCTGCAGTAGACCGTCTATGAATCTGACCTCTTTATCCAGAGCATCCCACAGATGCCAGATCATACATCACACTGCCTCTGCTGATTCTCCTCCCTATTATGCACCTGGTGCCATGTCTTCTGCTGAGAAAAACGTAGACCAGAGCTGTTAACAAGTGATCTAAAGATCAGAACATCTTCTTCCACTGCTCCATGGTCCAGATCTGATGTTACTTGGATGGTGGGCTCGGGCCAGCATGCACATCCTGAACCAAACACAACATCCTGGGATGTTCTGAACAGTTTCTATAAGACACTTCCAACAGCAGCTCGTCTACTGGATACGAACCACACGAGCCAGACTTCATTATCTACATGCATCAGTAATTCTCGTCTATGGATCTGACAGAAATCCTATGGTTTTCCTTTCATGGATCACTGGAAACAACCAACAGGACACGGGTCCCGCACTGCCTGGTGAGGATTCTTCTGTCGGTGGTCATAATGTAATGGCTCGGATGGGTAACCTCATCTTTATATTTATATAATCACGCAGCGCCCCTCAGTGGTAACCTCAAACTCAGCAGCAGCTTGCTGTCAGCTGCTCAGTCCTCTCCACTGTCATTAAAGCACATAAAAGTATTTAGTGTTCTGGTTTAAATCCGCTGATTGTTCACGGACGCTACGGTTCGACCCGAGAGACGGGGCAGCAGCGGTCCCGAACACTGGTGGCACCGGCTAGCCTACAGGTTAGCTTTAGCGCCAATCAAAGAGCATTCCGATCAGGATAATGAGGCTGTGGGAACCCGGAAGGCCACGCCAACATCTCCGTCACCAAATGTTGGAGATGCTGCGGAGATTTTAAAGCAGCAACCGTCACCAACACAGCCAGAAAGCGTTAGCCCAAAGAGCAGTGAGGGGACGGGGCCGTCAAATGCCCGATGGCTGCACATCCCCTAACGGCTTTCCTGTTAGGCATTCACGCGAACAATCACCGAACGCAGCTCACAAACACGAAAAAAAAAAACCCACATAAAAAGGGCGTAAAGTTCCGATTAAACCCACTTGGAGCGTCACCCTCCTTATAAACACGACACGTCTCTCTGTTCGTCACTTTAATCACTAAATAAATTAACTCAGACACTCAGCAGCACAGAAATAACACCGATCACAAAACCGGCGGAGTTCGGCTCTTAATACCGACTCTCACGGCTATTAGCTTGGGTTGCTCGAAGCCGATAGCCTGCCTAGCTCTCCGGGCCACAGCTCTCACCTGCAGCACGGTTCAAACGTCGTTTTAGGTGCCGACGGCCGTGGAGAGAAAAGCTCCGGCGGTTGTGAGGAAATGAGTGGCCCGGAACATTATTTATCACAGCGGCTGTTAGCAGGTAAATATCACGCTGAGGGATTATTTACACGCGTTAAAAGTCCCAAACCCACCACACCGAATACTCACGGGCTTACCGGTAAAACAACCAGATCCGAGCCGGCCACGACACTCTGAAAACATTTATAACAGGAAACACATTGTTATTATTTTTTTCTTTAAAAATTAACATTAAAATTCAAGATGGCGGCCTGGCACAGGCAAGGGTGGACCGGAGCACAGCCATCCGAGAGAAAGTAGATCCAACAAATCCGCCACCAGTTCTGTTCAACTGCACCGAACCGAGACACGCTACGTCTGGGTCCGGGGTAACACTCGGTAAACCGGCACTGCTGTTTACGTTTACTTATTTACCTTGTAAGTAAAAGTAAAACTGGAAAATGTTTGGATACTTTTTGTTCGTCGGATGTACACAAAAGTAGTGCTGCATAAACAAACATACGCTGCCCTTAAGAACCCTGAGAGCAGGTTCGGTTCTGCTAACGAGTTCTACTAGAACCCGGCAGCAGAACCTCGACAGAACAGAGTTCGGTCCAGTTCTATTACCAGGCTCTTCTAAACTGTTAATGGCCGTTTTTATAACTTTAAATTACGATTTCCTGATAAATAATTGCTGGACAAATTTACCATATCTTTTATTTATTGTTAACTGTTTTAATGTATGCTTCAGTTCGGATTTGTTGACGTGGAAACTGCAAATGAGCAGAAACTGGTGGAGGTCCAGTCTCAATAAAAGGCAAACACTGATCATTTAAATATTAAAACTATCAAAAATGACAAAAACAGGAACACGAATGAACTGACAGGAAATAAAAGATAAACCGTTCTGTTTGTTTGTTGGTTTTTATCTAAACGCCAAAAAGTCACAAAGAGCAGCAAACAGATTTCATTTGTTATTTTAGCTAACATGTGGGCCTGTTTAATCCAGGTGGCACACCTGGTTCTGCGCCTGTAGTCTGCTGGATAAGCCTGTTTTATTTTCTTGAGGGATTTAATTTTAAATGCCACATCTTCATCTGCTGATTAAACTGTGAGTTCAGATCCAGAGGTGAAATATCTGCAGCCACTGCTCAACTAGCTAACAAAATTCTGATGTTTGAGTTTTTATTTCAGTCTGTTTCTTTTTTATTAAACCTTTATTCATGTAACCTTTATTTATCCAGGTGAACTGTCTGAGAACCACTTCTCATTTACAAGCATGGCCGGTTATGAAGAGGAACACATCTGATGTTCCCATTTGTCTAAAATCAGATTTAACAGTCCTGACCAATGGGCTTCAGATGAAAACAGGAAAAACAATAAATCTAAAAAAAAATAACGCAATAAAATTAAACAGCACTGAGGAGCAGAGGAACCTGAAACGCTGCCTAGGAGTCTAACCCAGGTGGGCGTACGTTTACCTGCATAGTGTGTGGGCTGCATGTGTGAGCAACCTGCTGCCATGGAAACCACCTTCTCCCCTGACTGACCCTTGACCTTCTTGATGAGTGTAGGGGAGCTGGAAGCTCAGATCTTGAATGATGACTTAGTATTTAGGAATAAATTATCTGTTGAACTAATGATGAGTGTGGATTTTTCTTCATCGGCAGTTTGCAACCTTTTACCAAACTTCTGTCCTACTAAATAAATTTGGATAAAATCACAAAATCTGCTGGACTCTCAGAATTAAAATAACAAAATAAAAATATTGTGTTGTGACATTTTAGTTTATTCTTTTTATTTTGGAAAAAGGACAAAAGAGATACCGGAATCGGGGTTTTATTGCCACATGTGTGAGAATCACAACATTAGGACATTGCTGCGGTACTTAATGCAAAAAGGAAGATGAAAATAAGAGATGAGGAAATATAGGAAGTAAGAATGTGATCACGATAAAATAATAATATAAAGTGGCAATAATTAGAGAAACAGCTGCTATATACAAGACTGTGTAGGTACTGATCAGAGCGGATCAGTTCAGGTACAAACACAACACTGGGTCATGTGACTGGAACCAAGCGACTGGAGTGGGCAGCCATAGGATTGAGTCCTACAGCACAAGGGAAGAAACTGCTCTTGTGGTGAGAGGTTCTGGTCCAAATGGATCTGAGCCTCCTGCCAGATGTGAGCGAGTCAAAATGACTGTGTCCAGGGTGTCACGGGTCAGCTGTTATCCGACCTGCACCCTCAACATCCTGGAGGTGTACAGGTCCTGTACGGAGGGGAGTTTGCAGCCAATGACCTTCTTAGCAGAGCGCACAACACGCTGCAGCTTCTTCTTGTGTCTGATGGTAGCTCCATCATTTCCACACGGTGATTGAAGAGGTGAGGAGGGTGTAGAACTGCCTGATCGACTGTGCTGGCAGGTTCAGTGTCTTCAGGAAGTTCATCCTCTGCTGGGCCTTTTTTATGATGGAGGTGATGGTGAGCTCCCACTTGAGGTCCTGGGTGATGGTGGTGCCCAGGAAGCGACATGAGTCCACCATCATGATGGGCGTGTCAGACAGTTATGGGGGGAGGGAGCTGTGTGCTTCCTAAAATCCACTACAACCTCCGCTGTCTTCTGGGTGTTTAGCACCAGGTTGTTGTGGCTGCACCAGGACACCAGCTGTTTGACCTCTATTCTGTAGGCAGACTCATCCCCATCAGAGATGAGTCCGATGACGGTGGTGTCGTCTGCACACTTGATAAGCTTGACAGACTCGTGGTTGGAGGTGGAGCTGTTGGTGTACAGCGAGAAGAGCAGAGGGGAGAGAACATGAGGGGAACCGGTGCTGATGGTTTGTAGGTCTGAAAGATTCATCCCCAGCCTGACTTGTTGCTTCCTGTTCATCAGGAAGTCAGCAATCCACCTGCAGATGGGGTCAGGCATCTTCATCTGGGACAGTTTGTCTTGGAGGAGGTCTGGCAGGATTGTGATGAAAGCAGAGATGAAGTCCACCAACAGGATCCTGGCGTAAGTACCCGGGGAGTCCAGATGATGCAGGATGTAGTGTAGAGCCATGTTGATGGCATCATCTACAGACCCGTTGGCTCTGTAGGAAAACTGCAGGGGGTCCAGGAGGGGGTCTGTGAGGATCTTGAGGTGGGGGAGAACCAGGTGCTCAAATGACTTCATGACCATAGATGTCAGAGCCACTGGTCTGTAGTCATTGAGTTCAGTGATCCTTGGCTTCTTGGGGACAGGGACTTTGGTGGAGATGTTGAAACAGGCAAGCACATGAGATGCTTCCAGTGAGGAGTTGAAAATGCCCGTAAACACTGGAGCCAGCTCTTCAGCTCAGAGCTTTAGAGTGGCAGGAGACACACCATCAGGGCCGGGGGCTTTTCGTGCATTTAGTCTTGAACTGCTTCCTCACATCTGCTTACATCTCTGTTGTTACCAGTGGCGGTTTTACCATTAGGCATAGGTCGGCGGCCACCTGGGGCCCCCTTGTTTTGGGGGGCCCCCTAGCCCTGACCGCCAACACCCCTCTGTTAATGCCACAATATTCTTATTACCAACCTGTCGCCACAGACGGGATTGGACATGCGCACTTCTCATTACCATAATTCCTGAACCGTTCAAGATATCATTAAAATTCTAAAAGTGCTGAAAAATGGGGCTTTTCGTGCATATACAATACATTACGGTAGCCACCGGGATTCCCTGTCTTGAGCGCAACGAATCACAACACAGATTCAGAAACGTGCTGAGTTTGTCATCCAAAATGCTCAGTTTTATAACTTTTGAATGGCTTATCAAATTCAAAAACTTCCAACGGTTCCTAAAAGTACATAAAAGCAGCTTTCCAACGGATGGATGGATGGATGGATGGATGGATGGATGGAGTGAAGGATGGGCAAAAGAAGCACCCCATGGCAGTGTGAGGTGTGCAGGACTCTGTCTGCAGCGGGAGGGAAACTTCTTCAAGGTCTATCACATCAAATAAAAACGTCTGAAAGTTTACAAAATAAATGGTCTTAAAACTGCTAAAAAAGATACCACGGTTCAAACTTTTTTAAGAATAGATACATTTGTTCAAAGTTTAAATTGTTCATTCCAAATTGTTTGCCCAGTAATTTTGAAGTTCCTGTTCAGTAATAAATGTAAAAAAAAAATCAAATCCATTTTTTGCTTTTTTCACTTTTAAGCTGATTTTTTAAAGGCTTTAATAGAAATAAATTTTAAATACAAACCATACACTGAAAGCTGAGGTTGATCTGAAAAAAGGAGAAGGAGAAGAGAATAAAGCTGTTATAAAAGGTCCATAATAAACCAAGACCTTCGTGCAGTTTGAGGGTTTGATAAAAGGAGATGATCGAATTCCTTCGAGAATGACGTCATTATGTGAGTTATTTTTACTGAGAAATACATTTTTAATTAAGACTTTTAAAAAATGTTTTCCTTGGTTAAACGTATAAAACAACTACAGGGTTACGCTGACGTTTCCTGAGACCCCGCCGAGAAGATGGCGGAGTGAGTAGACGCTTTCTACCGAGTTCTGCACAGAAAGTTCGTGAACAACGGTAAAACCTCAACTTTATGCTGCCAACACTAACAATTCACTAAACACGAGAAGATACAGTAATTATAGGGCAAGAATGCCGAACCAGAAAGGAGCGAAAAGGGGACTGGAAAGTTCCAAGTCTAAGATAGCGCCTGGGGATGCTAATGAGAAGAGTGCTACGCCCAGCAACGTGCTAATGGATAGCTTTCATGACTACGCAGCTACCGCAGTAGCACTCACGCTAGCCGAAGAAGAAATGGATGAGTTTCCACCTCTCCCTGTAACACATCTTAAATCACCAGCTCTGAAGAAGGTGATGTATGAACGCAGCAGCTCTGACCCAGATGATGCAAATCAGATAATTTCTCGTCTGTCGGCACTAATAAACACCAGGTCTGATAACATT